GATATTTTTTTATATGAGTAAAAAATATGTGTTTAAAAGCATTCTCAAGAAATAAAAAAAAANGGCCCTGGGCAGGGGATCGAACCCCACTTCACAATAACAGTTCAGTGACTTAACCACTGATATTTTTTATATGTGTAAAAAATATGTGTTTAAAAGCATTCTCAGGAAGTAAAAAAAAAAAAAAACCCACTTTGAAATTTCTATTTTTTAAAAATTATTTTGGAATAAAAGTGCGAAAAAGTTGAGTTGGAAAAAGTCCTTCATTAATTTTATTCATCTTTCCTTTATGGTGTTATAATATTTAAGTTATTGTGCAAAATGTGAATTACTGAAAATTGATATTCTGCTTGTAGCGTGTGTTATCATAAAAGCATCTGAAATTATAAAAATTAATGCCAATTAAATTAACTCATCAACTTTCTCTTTTATAGAAGTAAATTAATTTAAGCAAAATAGTTCATAAATTCATTTAAAAAAACTCTTGCTCCCTGCCCACTCTTTTTGTTGCTGTACTTTTCTCTCGTTTTTTGTGTTCAATTTAACTAAAAAATATTCCATTATTATTGTTTACAGTTTAATGAAAAATAAGAATTTGCTACCTTCAATTTAATTTCGCTTTTATATTATTGATCGTTCTTCGCAATCTTATGATTGGGTTCACATCATATCAAATAATCTGCACTGCTTGATATTTTTCATGAGAAATAAATGCAAGGAGAGATGACTCAGGAATGACTTTTTGGCACCCAGGTGGAGTGTGTCACTATTGGGGAGGTTGAGTGAGGTTAGTCAGCTAAATTGATGCGTTTTTCCTGCTCCCTGCTAATGGCAGGGGGTGTAATCACCTTCCCTCCCTTTATCACCATTTCACCGCCAAAACTTATGATGACGATGGGATCTCCAATTTTTACTGCTTTGCTATTTTTTATAAACGCTGAAAACAAACGATGCAGTTAAAATTGTTAAATTATAATTATTTGAGAATGAGTTTCTGTTATTGATTTTAGTTTTTTGGTAGCAGAGTTTATTGTTAGTTGAGTCATTGATTTTAATTTTTTTGAGAGATTTTTGGTATCTATTTGCAACTTACGAAGTTTTGCAACTTGCTAACTTTGCTGTGAAAAATTTCATTACCTCAAAATTAGCTTGATGTTACATATTTTGTTTAAAAGCGGAAGTTGAAAATAAGAAAAAATAAACGTTTTCAGAAATATGTGGTTGTTAATTAAATCGTTTGCTTAAACTGCGTTTTAAAATAAGAAAAAATAAATAAACGTTTTCAGAAATATATGGTTGTTAATTAAATCGTTTGCTTAAACTGCGTTTTAAAATAAGAAAAAATAAATAAACGTTTTCAGAAATATATGGTTGTTAATTAAATCGTTTGCTTAAACTGCGTTTTAAAATAAGAAAAAATAAATAAACGTTTTCAGAAATATATGGTTGTTAATTAAATCGTTTGCTTAAACTGCGTTTTAAAATAAGAAAAAATAAATAAACGTTTTCAGAAATATATGGTTGTTAATTAAATCGTTTGCTTAAACTGCGTTTTAAAATAAGAAAAAATAAATAAACGTTTTCAGAAATATATGGTTGTTAATTAAATCGTTTGCTTAAACTGCGTTTTAAAATAAGAAAAAATAAATAAACGTTTTCAGAAATATATGGTTGTTAATTAAATCGTTTGCTTAAACTGCGTTTTAAAATAAGAAAAAATAAATAAACGTTTTCAGAAATATATGGTTGTTAATTAAATCGTTTGCTTAAACTGCGTTTTAAAATAAGAANTAATTAACTTTTTAAAAAAAATATTTATTTTTCCTTTCCCAGTCTTACATTTAACGTTTTTAAAATAAATTAATATTTAAAAATTGTTTCATTCATATTGATTGATAGTTCGTTCATTGGATTGTTTTTAAATCAATTTTTGAACCAAATATTGGGTTCTATACAATATTGAACGTATTAATTTTCAACATAATGTATGCATACCTATAGTTTTCTTAGATACTCCATTCTAAGTGGGGTCCCACTGCAAGGGAGATTTTCTGAAGGTTATATTTATTTCAGGATTTCTTTTCGAGTTAGTAAAATACGTTACAAATCTAGTGCAATTTGATTTTTCTACATTAATTTAAAACATCTTAGTATTAAGTTAATTAACTGCATGTGTTAGTCTCAGACTGATAAAGCAGGAAAATTGCGATTGACACTATAAAAATAAAATTTCGAATGTTGCTGCTGCCTTATTTTATTATTAATTTTTTTTTAAAATTAAGCATAAAAAAAAATTACACCTGACTAACTTACTTTGTTTAATTTTATTCTATTCATCAGAAGAGGAATCGTAATAAACTCAAAATTGATTGGATGGTAGCATTTGAAATTTATGGTTGATCTTTTGTGTTTTTATTTTCATTTTTTTTATCTTGTCGAAAAATTAATTATTTACAACTTTTCCTCTTCCGATTTCGCCCGATTAATCACAAACCGAAGCTACCATCTCGACATTACTAAAATTAATAAAATCATAGTGAATTTTTATAGTTAATAAACCAAAAAATCAAAAAGATTCCATATTTCTAATTTTAATGCTTTTATTTTCACGGGGAAGTAAAGCTGTTTTACCATTTTACTAAGAAATTGTAGTTTGCTGACGCATGCGATCTGTAAATTCAGTTATTAAATCGTCTGCCGTCATTTATCATTCTGATGGAAAAGAAATAATTTCAATTTGTAAATTTGTACCAGAGTTCTTTAATAATTTGTAAAATTATTGTTTAAAAATTGTGCATTGAAATTCTTAAAAAATCCGAATTTTTTCCCTCCTTTTGCTGTTACTAAATCATTTATTTATTGACATTAAAAGTGTTTATAGATGGATCGTGATAAAAACAAAAATGCTTTTCTTTTCTTGAATAGGGATTTCCTCTGCAATTTATCTTTCAACCAATTAATTTATTGAGTCATATTTGCTCGCATCAATCACTGAGTGATATAAATAGTTTTTCTTTAAGCTTCAATAGAGGATTTCTTTAATTTATAACATTCTATCATAATAATTTACAGCCAGTTTTAAAAATTTTAAATGGGGATTTTTTAAGGTCATTAAGGTTATTTCATTATTTATGTTTTTTACATTTATATTCTTTGATGATCCCGCCTTTATATTTATCTGAAACACATGTTTTGATTAGTGATTACCGTATGAGGGTTCGCATTCCTGATAAAAAAAATATTTTGGTCTGATATTGTTGATTTTTTTGCGCTTTCAGAGAGAGCTTCCCATTTTTTGCGAATATAAATGCGGATTTTAAAGTAATCAATTTGAAGAATCAGAAAATTCCTACATCTTTTTATTTTAATAAATAATAGATGGGATGTATCGTCTTAACTTTACATATTCTTATTTTAACTCTACATATTCCTTGGCTCAACTTCCTATTAATTTTCATTCTTAAATTAGTACATAATCATTAATAATTCTAAGTGATTTAAGAATTTAATATCGTGAAATCCATCGTTAGAAATTATTGATATTTCACATTAAATGGCTTGCATTGCATTATTTTTGAAATCTAGAAAATATAATTTAAGCTAGACAATATTTTACTTAAATAAACATTTATGTTAATCATCTTTTTTTTTTCCCTAAAAAAAGGCTTAATAATAAAATTATTAAACCTTTTGCCAAGTGAATTACAATCGACATATACAATAATATCGTTCTTAATGATTATCGCGTTATTATTTTGTTTCATATGCGTAGCGTTTTTAAAAAGTGCTTAAAGGTACTTATTTTCGCTTCTTAAAAGCCCTTAAAGGTGCTTTTTTCATTGGGTGTTTTTAACAAGTGCTTAATTTTTCTTTTCCAAAATGAGATTTTTCCTTTACCATGTTGATATTCGCTACGAATTATGCCGAGATACACTGTTCACATTGTTCTATTCAACGTTTTCACAATTAATTCTACCCCAATCTATTTCTGCTTATCGTCAATCCGTAGTGTATAGAAACGCCATTCGATTTACATGAATAAAAATTTTTGGCTGTTGTCAAAAATAATGCCGAATATTTTCTGATTTTTCGGTTAAAACCAGATAAAACCGTCAATTGTCAAAAACTTTCCGTGTTTTTTTTAAGTGCTTAAAAATATTATTTGAGTGCTTGAAACGAGCTTAAAGGGTGCTTATTTTTTGTTGAATAATTTGGCTACGCACCCTAGTTGTCGATAGATCCCACAATATTTCGTGTTTGATAAAAATCATTGACGATAATGATTACGATTTAACCGTATTTGATAATCATCCCATTATTATTGTTATTAATTTTTTCTTTATATTTATGTGAATATATATTCAATACATTCATATATTGTCGAGCTCCACTGTGACATTTAAACAGTTAATCACATCGAAATATGGCCAACAAAATTTGAAGTACTAAATATTACAGAAGTAAAATTAGTTACCATAAAAAATATGTAATAGTACATAGTTTTAGGTATATAATTTATGACATTTCTGAATAGTAAAAAGAAAATAACTTGCAATACTTTTAGCTTTATCAATTCCATGCACATCCTCTGCATAACTTTAGTCAGATTTTGCAGAAGGTTTCAATTTTAATCCTATTTTTTATAGTTTTTCAAGCATTCATCCTTAATTCTTATGACTTATAAATTTTATACATTTGTACGGCTTAAGAAAATATAGTGATAAGCCACGTTTTCATCATATCAAGTAATATTCTTTAATTTAGACTGTTATTTAGTATTGTTTTCAGATGGGTTCTTTATGAGTGTCCGGAATTTCCTCTGAATAATATCACACTCAAAATTTTCTATCCTACATGGAAATAGTTGTGTTTTACACCAAAAACAACACAGTTTGAAATCGTGGCTAATCATTATACTGCTATTTTAATTGTTATTTTCAGATTTGAAATACTTACGATAAAAACATGTAATTTGACAAAATATATTTTTGTGATTTTAGGTAGTTTTGGTGGATTTCCAGATTTTCAGTTTTTAGTTGAACCTCGTGACATAATCGTTATTAAGGATAATGCTGCTATTTTAAATTGCTCAACTACTGGCCAACATACTGTCATAAAATGGAAAAAAGATGGAAGTTCATTAGATCTTGATGAGCGTCGGTAAGAATTTTTACTTTTAGCTTGTTTGTTGCGTTGGAAAAATTTATGCTAGTTAGTGTAATTTAACAGGATAATAAATATGCTATAGAATTTGGTAATTCAGAATTGGATCCAATACAGGGCTGCCATAGGCATTTAAAATGACTATTTTGTAGAAAAGGAGACTATGGCGACTATTTTTGCCAAAATGGAGAGAAAAAAGACTATTTTGCAATCAGTTGTAAAAAATTGGCTACTTTTTTTACTAATTAGCTAATAAAAAGGAATAAATATGATATTTTTTTCTCTCACAGCACTGAGTACGGATAAGAATCAGGGACAAGGAGGATCATCATGAATTTTTCCCTTCTGTTTTTATGTGACTTTAGCAGTTTTTATGTGACTTATGTGTTTGTTTTTATTTCACTTTTTATGTGACTAAGCGATAGCTTTATTCCCACTCTATTTGAACAATGGAATTACAGTGGAATGTATTATGCTGCTGGTGTAAGCTACATCAAATATGCCAATTTGTTCTGCTTTGTGGGCACGTTTTCCTTGTGACAACATTTGCGCTGGACTCACGCTTGTGAGAACGGGAGTTCGAATCCAGCCGGATCCGATGTAGTAAATGGTGACTGGTGAACACGTTAAATCTGTCGGGTCACAAAATCCTCCATATTCCCTTTAACAAATCAATACCTCTATGAGTACTGAATTTGAGATAGTTTGTTCTCTGGTTCAGGTCAAAATTACGATATGTGGATGTATGAATGTGTCCGCCATATAAACGGGTGTGGCAGAAGTTTAATTCTTGGCCATAGATGGCGCCACTGGACAACCGCATCCCCTCTTCCTTAATGGTTGACGCCAACAAGAACGACATTTCCGATTTTGTGTATGATTCTCAGATTATGAAATAAGAAAAATTGGTGTTAGTAAAATATTCAAATTTCACATTTAGGTAAAATACTTCATTGAAGGTAGAGAGAAATAATTAGTCGCATGGAAGGAAAAATGTTTAACTTAAAGGGAAACCAAGAACAAGTTGCAGATTTTTTTTAAAAAGTGGGGAAGAGCAATAAAAAACAAATATTAATGAAACTCTTAAAGGAAACAACATGAGAATGCATGTGTAAAATGATCAAAACAATTGTGAAACTATTTGGGAAAATTAAAATAAATATTTAGAAAAAGAAATTGAAATATGTTATTCTTATTAGTATCAGTATACTCCTATCATTTTTCATTTGAAACATTGTAATTCATAATTCTTGATAAAGTTCTAATTCATTATTTAATTATTATACTTTTGCACTTGTAAATAAACAGAATGTATAAAACATGGGTGTAATGTTAGTTTATTTTTAGAGTACTGAATTTAATATTTTTCTCTTTTATTCATTTACAATTATTATTATTATTATTATTTTTTTAGAATTTTTTAGGCTATATTTTATTATTATAATATAAGTTAAGTATTGTAAAAGCATGTTAGAGGAAATTAATTTTAGCAATTATTTTATATATCTAGAAACTATTTTAGGGACTATTTTTTTTTTATTTCTGAAGCAACTTACTCCAGTGGCGGCCATGCAAATAGGTTTTTGAGAAATGATATCCTGAACTGATGATTTTCCTGTGTTTTATAACTTTCTACTTTCTATCGCTTCTAAATTTATTTATTTTTAAAGATACCTGATTTTTATGTTAGATTTCGGATAATAATGAAAACAATTAAACCCCCAAAAATATTCTATCACCAACTTTTTTTTAAAATGTATAAAAACTAATCAAAATTAATTTAGAGTATTTATAAAGATTAAGGTCAGGTGTTGGTAGTGTGGATTTTTATATTTGGATTTAGGGGATGATTCACTATCTAATTTTTGATTAGTTATGTTTTTTCAGTTGAAACTTGGGCTCTTCTAGGCAATTTTGCCAGCCAAGTCTTTCATGTTGATATCAATAGTTTTAATTTTATTTAGTTATGTAATATTATTTGTTTAAAATATAAGATTATTTGCATTTTATTATTTCAAAATAATTTGCTATTATTTGCATTTTTTTATTTCAAAATAAATTGCTATGTTTTTTGACCTACTAATACCACTACCTTTTGTTAAAAGTTAGAAAATTTACAATACATTATTAGTATAGTATTTTTTACCCCATGAAAAATATAAGCAAAAAAAATTATTGTTATTTAATACATTTGCTGCATAAATATCTTTCTTAAATTGTTTAATTTTTTATAAATGCCTTTTCCTTTTTTTATATTTGTATTTTTTGTATGTTTTTTTATTTATCTTTTTTTTTGCAATCATATGCCTGTGTTTTGAATATAATGCTACCAATTATCTACCAATATTAATAGTCAATTAAGGATATGTAAATACATTGTTTAGATAAGTTTTGTCTTTAATTATTTTTTAATATTTGTATATAATTTTAATTTTTGTATTTAATTTTAATTTTTGTATTTATTTTTAATTTTTGTATTTAATTTTAATTTTTGTATTTAATTTTAATTTTTGTATTTAATTATGTTATAATTTCAAATATAACAATTACAATTAGAAATTTAATTAGTAACAGATTACTGAACTTTCTTCAAAATAGCTATCAAACTATTCAGCATAAATTTTTATATTAGTAATATACTTTTAAATGCAACTTTTCTCTTTCAAACACAAACTTTATTTTATCAGTAATATTTTTTTAAAATCAACTTTTGCATTTTCTAATAAAATTATTTTTAAAACAGTTGAAGGCATATCAAGTTGTCACATTTTATCCAAAAAAAGGTAAATCAGAAAAAGAGAGGGAATTAAATATTTGTGTGTTTTTGAATTGTTATTTTGTGTTATATCATAAAACAATAAATAGTTCATTTAAATTTTATTTTCTGCATAATTTTTTTTATGTTATTAAAACGCATAGACAAAATTAAATTTTTTTCCTTCTAATTTTTGAAGTTGAATCTAATGCACTAATTAGAATATTTCAAAACTGAACTATTTTTTTTAATATATTTAGGTTTGTTATGTCAAATGGATCTTTAATTTTCAAAAAAGTTGTACATAGTAGAACTGAGAGGCCAGATGAAGGACTTTATCAATGCTCAGCATTTAAAGAAGGAGTTGGAACTATTATTAGTAAAGAAGCTAAACTTCAAATAGCATGTAAGAAAACATTATCATTCAATTTACCAAAATTTTCTTTTAAAAACTGTATACTTTTGGAAAATGGTTAGTGTAATTATTATTTTTTGAAAGTATTATGCAGGGTTCACAGTTTTCTTGATTGAAAATATTTTATTCTTCTTTGTCTTGATTTTTAGCTTTTAGCTGCGACATCTCAAATTTTTCTTAATTATGGGATTTTCCTGTTTTTTTGGAATATTTCATTCTCTACAAATACAAATGCGGATTTTAAAATAATGAATTTGAAGAATCAAGTGATTTAATTTCCTTTTACTTTAATAATTAATGCCAGCATAAACTATTTTATTGTAAACATTAATGCTAGCAAAATAAAAATTCGATAGTAGAGAATGCTCATTAATTATGTACAAGGTTCAGGTGTATGGCCTTTCCCGCTGAATTAATTGTTTCAAATTTTTTGAGAATTCAGTAATTTTATGATGTAGAAACTCAATTACCAGCTTTAGATCTTCAAATTTTTATGGGGATGAACTCAGGGGACACACGTTTATATATTGTTCTAAGTAACTGCAGTGACAAATCGTTTTTAGTAGTTTAAAAATTATTGATTTATGTCTTTCATGTTATTTTAAAAATGATTGATTTCAAATAACAACTAACTAGTCATTTGGAGAGTCAGAAATACAATCAGCAGAAAACGACAAAAATGTTAAGATATGTATGTTAGCAGGACAACACTTCATCAGGGGACACACTGCGTGCTAACACACAGAAACCTTTCTGTTGCCAGTGGTGAAACCAAAAACTGACAGTGCCCCCGAGGCCCCATAATGTAAAAACAAATAAAAAAAAGCAATTGGAAAAATTGAAATGTAAATGTAAAGAAAAATTAATGACAAACAATCGCAATTCAAAAGTACATGGAGTAAGTCTTAATAATGACTTAAAAGTACACAGACTAAGACTTAATAAAGAGACTCCCACATATAAGAGAAATAAATAAATTAAGATAAAGTTACAATTAGAATAGCCACATCAAAATAAAATATAAATTGCTAAATAATTAAGAAAACTTTAGTCAGTTTGATCATAAGTTATTTAGGTGTCCCACTCTTTATTTTGTGTACTGTACAAAGTTTTTTTGTTTCAATTTAATTACGTACTTATTTTATCTATGCTTTTTTTGTTAGCTTTACCACCATTTGCAAAAGTGATTACGGATCTTTCTGTTTCCCAAGAACAAACTGTTTATTTTCCTTGCTCAATACAAGCTGTACCACCAGCTTCTATAACCTGGTTCAAAAATCAGCAACCTCTACATTTAGATGCAACTCGGATGACAATTTTACCGAGTGGAGCTCTGGAGATTGATGATGTGCAACCAGTAGATAGAGGCACTTACCACTGTGTTGCAGAAAATGTAGAAAAAGCAAGAGAAAGTGACCATGGAACTCTTTCAGTTAATCCAAAAACAGGTTATAATTTGCATAAAATTTTTAGAAACTTAAGTTTAACCTGGTTTTTGTTTAAAATGCTTTAATTTAATGGTTTTTATTTACTTGCAAAAATGTTTTTTTGCTTATACCAATAGATTCATAAATTAATTTTCAGTTTTTTGTTTTCAGCATCTATTTATTTAGGATTGTATAAATAAATGTGTTTAATGCTTATTTTATATGGTATTACATATAAGAGTGTTGAAAAAAAATTGAAAGCCTGATTACTCCTTATTTTGTTTCATTTTCTAAGATCCTTCACATGATTTCGCCATCAATCTTTTTTTCGGTAGATATTACTACGGATTTCACGATTTTTTAAAATTATTTTTTTTTAATGTAATGATGACTTACAAAATGCAAAAACGGAAATAATCGCTGTGTTTTCCCCTGAAAAAAATGTGAGAATAATATTAGGATAAAAAAATATTACATATTAACCCACTGACGGTTCTGCACGTAAAAAGTCGCATTTTAACCTGCAGTCTTCTCTGCATAGCAAAACCGGTTTTCCCATGTTAACTGATAGGGGAACTGTGTGTAGGGGAGAAACATTCGCCCAATTTTGCCCTTCTCCTTAACCGCCAGTGGGTTAAATTAAAAAAAGAATTTTATTTGATCCGAAGAAATTTTTTTTTGAAGTTGACGTTTTTGTTACTTAAAATTAAANATTAATAAAATGTTTTCTTATTTTGTTTCATTTTCTAAGATCCGTCACATGATTTCGCCATTAATCTTTTTTTCGGTAGATATTACTACGGATTTCATGATTTTTTAAAATTATTTTTTTTAATGTAATGATGACTTACATAATACAAAAATGGAAATAATTGCTTTGTTTTACCCTCAACAAAATGTGAGAATAATATTAGGATAAAAAAATATTGCATATTCAATTAAAAAAACTATTTTATTTGATCAGAAGAAATTTTTTTTTGAAGTTGATGTTTTTGTTACTTAAAATTAAAAACGTGTATACTTGTTATTTTTAAAAGTATCTTGCAGAAAGATGTTAGTATTAGACAGGTATGTTGCAGAAAGCCCAAAAAAATTCTGCCCCCGGGATTAACTCGTTCAGTGTAATAATATTAAGCTTGTTTAGCTTTTTGATGATATTAGTTTTGTAGATATAATTTGCTATAGAACATAACTGTCTATTTTATTAATTTAAGAAAACATTCATTTTTGAAATTTTGAAAAACCATTGTTTCTTACCAAAGAGCAATTTTTACAAGATTATATTTCTCAGATTTCTTATAAGTTTTATATTAAAAAAAATATATCAGGATGAAATAATCCCAGTTTTTGCTTGTCTTATAATCAGAAATAAACGTATAATATAATAAATATAAGAATTTATATTTTTGCTATAGAAAATAGCAAAAATCTAACAGGGATAAAATTACCATGACAAATTAAGAAGTCTCAAATTTTAAAAATAATTATACTTTTTTCAGATGAATTGTTGTCATCTCCTAATTTTATTGCTACTCCTCCATCTACTGTTGTGATAGCTAAAGGGTCCAACTTAACTCTAGATTGTGCAGCTAATGGCAATCCAAATCCTATAATAACCTGGTTAAAAGGAAATTCTGCTATCGATTTTTCGTAAGTACATTTCATATGGGTATGAAATTTTAACTTAAAGAATTTCTATTTATTAACATATTATTAGTTATAAATTTATAACTCCTCAATGTTGTCTGACTTATTCTGTTGTTTTTGAAATTGAGTGATAAAAATTTTTTTTTGCGCAATTAACTTGAACGAATTTTCTTGGCATGAATGTTACTTCATTTTATTAAAATATTTAGGTTTTTTGTAAGAGAAGATGAAAGAAAGGAAATTAATAAAATTAATGTTAATTGCTTTTATGGTGAAAAACATTCAGTTGAAGTTAGTATTTGTTCCACCATTTCTTAGACATTCATTGATGCAAAGATAATTTAAATATTGCTATTTGCAAATATTGAGTTTATGCATATCCTATGTAAATCATTAGATAAATATTTTTTTTTTAAATGGAGTAATTACTTTTTTATTCCTATTAAATTATTATATTATACTATATTTGTTCAGGTTTTCTTAGTAGTATTAATACATTTTTTCTGAATTTATGCATCTTAAATTTATTCTTATATACTCTTTATTCTACATTCATGAGGTAACAATTACTTAAGGGATGGCATGAGTGAGTGTAAATACAGGGTGCACTGCTGTTAATGTATATTTTTTGAATCCTTGTATAAAACTAAGCTTAAAGGTTTACTCTTTAGGAATTAAATACAAATAATTAAAAAGAAGAAAACTAAAACAGGTTATCCAAATCTGTTTAATAATTAGTGAAAAGGGAAGATTAAAAACCTCAATACCAATTGTTTACCTGATGGAACTTGAAAATCTTCTTATAATCACCTTTCAACTCTCCTTTCTTTCTTTCATTTGCTTCCTGTTAAACATATTTTTAAATTTTCAGTTACGTCATACTTAGTTGTGATTTGTTAGATTTCAATAGCGTTTTTTATTTTTCTCTCTTAAAAATTAATTTGCATTTTCTAATGTACTTTTTTTATGTAATTTTTGTCAGGGATTCTACGAAAATAAATGGTATCAAAGCATAGTATAGCTCATTGATTCTTTTTTCAATAAAGGGAATTGAACATCAATTTTTCTTTTAGCGACAATTAACCCTGTACTGTAGCAATTACACCTTATGCTATTATTGATTGTTTTCTTAAAATAAATTTATTTTTAAACTAAATTTTTGTAGGAAAAAAAAGCAAACGTTTAAGTTTGCATTTAATTGTTATAAAAATATAAAGTTACTATAATTTTTCTTAATCAGAAAACAGAGGAATATTTATTATTTCTGTGATAATTTTTTCATATTTTATGCTTGCGTGTAAATCATTTATTTAAATAATAGAATTTCAATAATTTTCTTGGCTTTTTCCAATTTTTTCATTACTCTGAATTCATAATTGTAGGTTTTTAGGAAGTCGCTTTAGAATTGTAGGCTCTGGCAGTTTGAATCTTGAAAACGTTGCTGAAGAAGATGCAGGAACTTACATGTGCCGTGCTGAAAATGCTGAAGATTCCATAGACGCTAGCTCCACAATAACTGTTATTGGTTTGTAAAACATTTTAAGTTTTTATGAATTTTTTGAAATTTTTGGGGTTTTATAAATTTTATTACTTTTTCTTATAAAATTTATTCCTAAATTGAGCTTTAAATGATAGTGTTTAAGCAAATTACTATTAAATGCATTTTCATCTTAAAACTTCTTTTTGGCTGTATCAATTTTTCAATTTGGCCAGTATCAATTTTATACTTTTTCTATTGTATTAATAATGTAGAGTAGTTTCCTTCAAATAGGTTATTCGATACTTGCAAAAGGCTTTAGGCAAACAGTTTAGAAGAAGAAAGGCATTAAAATAAAATTCTTTTTAAATTAATTAAGCCAGTAATTTCTATATTAATAAGTTAATATAGAAATTATTATCTAAATTAACTGAATTTATCTAATTCTACTATTTCTTTTCTTCATATCGGTTTTAACTCCATTAAAGTTTTATGTTTTAGGTTTCTAATTTGTAAAGCTGTTAAAAATATGTTTCCATTTTTTTATGAAAAAAATGCTTATTGTTTTGAGATGTCCTTTTTTGAGAAATGAGGCGCTGTTGTACAAAATTTATTTTAAAACTATACCTATATTAAAAATATTATAATATATTAAAAAATAATTAAATCATTTAGTTACTTTGTTTGTGAGTGTTCAAAAGTATTTAGTTGATGTTAAATTTAATAATGAAGTCTAATTAAAATATAAATTTCATTACATTATCTAGTTCCCCCATATTTTTTGACCAAGCCTCAAAATCAAGCTGTTTATGAAAAGGAAGATGTGACATTCAAATGCAGTGTTTATGGACGACCCTTACCAATTGTGCGTTGGTTCAAAGACGGAGATCTCATTGTTCCGAGTGAATATTTTCAGATTGTAAATGGCTATAATCTGAGAATTCTGGGAGCTGTCAAATCTGATAGTGGAATCTATCAGTGTTTTGCTACAAACTCTGCTGGAAATATCCAGTCATCTGCCCAGTTAAAAGTCCTCAGCAATGGTAAACTATGTTAAATATTTGTTTCAATTTATGTTCTCTTTATGAATTACCTACAAAGCTGAATATGTTTATGAATGTTGATTGTTTAAAATGAAATGCTTTTATTAAACTTCTAAATTGTTCCATTCTCCAGGCATGAAATTCTTGCACATATCAGGAATAAAATGTATTAATTCATTGTTTTCTACAAATTAAGTGGTTATTTACAAGCTAATGATTCTTGTTACAGCATTAGACTTGATATACATGTATCTGTATTACATACTCACTATTTAAAGGTCGGTAAACTATTAAAGACTGCACACTGTTTGCACTAGTTTTGATTTGCTTGCATTCAGCAGTTAGCATGTCTCCTGCATTTTTTTAAATCATAGAATTTTAATATCAGCTCATATTTTGTGATTGGTTTTTATATATAATTTCATTTACATGTATGCATGATAATTTTCATTTCAAATTAATAAAATGTTTTTGAAATTTTTTTTTATGAATTAGTTTGGTAGTTTATCAATTAGTTTGGTAGGAGGGAAAAATAGGGTTAAACTGAAAAAAATTATAATGTGAAAGCAGTTTGAATTTTTGTTAACCCTATAATTGTCAAGCTTTTTGGAAAAAAGTTTTCTGTAGTTTTGAATAAAAAAATTATTTGCTCTCTTGGAATGTTACCAGTTTTAGTGATGCAGATAAGGTCAGAAAATGCGAATAATATTTAAAAGAATTTCAGCTGTGCCAGGGAAAATTATGAAAGAGATTCCCCTTTAAAATATTAGCCATGAACACATTTTACCACTATCACAATTTTGCATACTATGTTTAATAAATTGGTTTAAAAAATTGCTCACTAATTAACTAATTAAGAAAATTTTAAGCTAGTCATTGAAGAATAAATAAACAAAATTTTCATAATTTCACAAAAATTTTAACATAATTATCTTAAATTTGTTCTCGCTTAAAAAAGCTTATATTTACAGTTTTGTTTATGGATTTTTTTATTTATTAATTTTTTTTTATTGTCTGATGTACTGTCTGATTTTATTGTCAGTTTAAAATGTATAATTTTTTTTCTACTTTTCCATGCATTGCTTCTTGTACATCTAATACTTACAAATGCAAAGTTAGCTTATTTAAACAAATGAAACTTTATACAGTTATTGTTATTTTTTTTAAACTGGAGTTGCCTATCGAGTGAGATTTTTATTACTATAAGTGGAATAACTAGTTGTATATTTATTTAGCACTTTAACTTATTCTGCCCTGTAATCAACGAAATTTTAGGACTGTTTTATGAAAAAACTGAATTATATACATTAACGATATATGTATCTTATGAAAAAAACCTTTATCAGTTGATTGAAAATAGTTGATAATGATACATATCTTTTTGCATGACTTATTGTAAATTTTGCTGGTTTAAAAATCAATAGTTTTCATTCTTTAATTTTTTTTCTGGATTTTTTCATTTTTTTTATATTTATGACTGATTTAAAAAGTGTAACCAGAATAGCATGCTAAATTAAAAAGCCTTATACAAGGGATTTAAGTTATTATTTTATTTTGTGTTTAATTTTGCATTATGATTTCTATAATTTGTTTGTTTTTGTTGACAAATTCTAATTCGAATTTTTCTTTTTTCCTCTTTTTACAATTTCTGTTTCTTAAATCATTATGAACTTTACTGTTTCACTTTATGATTGGCTGCTTTCTTTCCTTGCTGCTATTACAAATTTCATTTCTTGTTACCTCTGAAACTTTCTCAAATGATATATTAACAAATTAAAAGATTCTTCCGAATCAGCTGCTTTTTCTCTTCCTGTAACTTTACCTAACTTTCCACACAAACCAGGATTTCTTCAGTTTCACAAGGAAGGACCATCTGCTCCATTGAACCTCACTGCTGTTATAGTCAAAACTCGATTTATCACTCTATCCTGGGAACAGCCTGTTCAGAGAAATGGACCAATCATTGCTTATTCTGTGTATTACAGGGAAATTAACTCCTCTAGGTAAGTTTTTATTATTTTTTTTACTACTTTCTTTGATTCAAAACAAAAACTCAATATTTGAATTTTCCTGAGTTGGTGTTTATGGAAATAACGAGAAAAGTTGAGAATTGCTTAAAAAGTTACAATTTCGGTACAATATTAATAAATTATTAAAAGTTTTTTTGCCCTCCCAGTTTAGGCTTCAGTGGCCATCTTGAGTTTTTTTTTGGGGGGGGGGGAGGGAACTTTTATCTAAATAGTTAATTTGTTAGATTTGTAAAATATGGGTCCAAACAGAGAGTTTTAAAGCAATAATATTTGAGCTATTAAGTTTTTTAAATGGGACTGATCAAACACTTCCTTCAAGTAAATAATCAGAATTTTTTTGATTTCTTTTTTCAGCTCTTAAAAAAAATGGAAATTTTTATTTATTTATATTAATACCTATAAAGTTAAGTTATAATTTTGCTTGCATAAAATTACCAGCATACTTCTTCTGTGCAAGAGAAATACCCATCCCAGTCAATGTGTCATAATTTATTTTTTGTGCCCCCTTTTCAATTTTTGTCGTATTTGGTTTGCTATAACACATAAGCTGAATCACTGATCTAAATAAGTGATGTATTGATTTCTGTATAATATGCATGTTACACTTGATTAGTGAAATAATGTGTTTTTTTAAACTTATTTTTATGCTGAATTAAATGTGACAAAATGTAAGTTGAAAAATTTAAAGTTATGTGTGTTTTGTCTTTAAGCATATTTTATTTAAAAAAAATTCTTTTTACATGAAGACCGTAATATTTCTTAATTATCAGTCTTTTCTACTTGGTTTTGATCACTCTTGTTTGAACCTAAAAATAAGACATAGAAAGCATTTCATTTGTCTAAATAGTTAAGTTTTTCCTGCTTGGTTAATTAGAATAGAAGATCAGTTAATAAAGACTCCCACCTCTTACTGACTGAGAAGCAAAGGCAAACTTCAGTTATTTATATTGGCAAACTTTGGATATACTGGCCTAATAATCTGAATTAATATATAATCTGTAACTGGATTAATAAGAATAAAAAAGGTTCTAAATATGATTTTATTTAATCGTAAAATTAAGATATATAAATTTCATTCTTTTTAATTTTTATTTATTCTGATGTAGATTTACTATTCATAATTAATAATGTTTTTCAGAAATTTAACAATAATTATTATACTATTAAATTTTTTTGGATTAAATATTCTATTTTCTTTAAAGTTTTATTCTTTATGTAAATATGGTAACAATTATTCCATTTTTTATGTTAATGTTGGGTCCAGTTTTATAGAAGAAGAATTATCATAGTAGTGGTAATGTTCTGTTGTACATCTACGTTTTTGTCAAGAGGCATTATTGCATGTATATATATATAATCTAAGATTTTTTTTTATTTAGAGAGAATTTTTGAAATTAATATCTATGGTCATGAAATGAAAAATTACAAAATAATAGACTCCTTACTTTATAGGAACGAAGAGATGCATTTTAAATAAGATAAAAAAAATTATAACTTTAAGCATGAGAAAGTTTTTGTAATTAATTTATTTATTGTAATTAATTAATTTGCCTATTATTTTTTAAATTTTTTAAAACTATTAACACGAAGAATTTTTTGTAATTGAATAACGATTGAATTGGGGGATAATTAGGCACCCAAAACCCCCTGGTTCTAATGTCAAGAACTTTAAATTAGCAGCGGACGGTTAGTTCCTTATTAACGAACTTAGGAGCATGGGAAGAGATCCATAGTTAAGGATTTATTTAAGGATAAAATAGCCATAAACAAAGCCAAACCTGCATTATTATAATTAAATTTCAAATAATTTGGTTGCAGCTTAATCATCAAAAAGGCTATGAGAATTAATATAACTCTAATTGAAACATTTTTCTGATATAGAGAAGTAAAGTAGCTAAAGGAATAAAGAGTTAATAGATTTTGATATTCTATTTTACAGTGCGTGACAGTGAATTAATGAGTTATATATTTGTATAGAATTAAAAAGTTAGCTGTTACATTGTTTGTTAAGAAAGGAATGAAATATTTATATTTGTTTTTCTTAAAATGTGATAAAAATTAAATGATTTCTTTCATTTGATTAAGAATGATTAAAAAAATTAAATTTACAAAATTCAAAAAAATTTAAAAACTAGGAAATATGTGATGCTGCCTATTATGACATCATTGAATAATCAATGTTTATTTTCATAAATTACAATAAAAGTTTTTTTTGTTTACTTTTCCTTTTAACATTTTTATTGTATAATAATCAGGGGGTGTTTAGAAGAAATTTGGGTTCCTTAACACATATCTTTTCATAAAAATGGACCATTCACAAAATATTTTAACTGAAAAACGGACCGTTCACAAAATAATTTATCTTTTAATCGAACCGTTCACAAATTTTTTTATCTTCATTATTGTTTTGTTAATCGAAAAAACACTTCTCAGGCGGGTGGGAAGAAAGACATGTAAAAAAACTAAGTTTTGTCTTCGACGGGCGCTTCTTCCCTTATTCATCCGAATTGAATATTCTGTGTTGTGCAGTATAGGCTTAATATCAAATATTTGTATGTTGAATCTCTAATTTAGTAGCAGCAATAGCTGTTACTTTTTGAAAATTATTTTTTTTTATTATAATTTTACAGTGTTGATCATAATCTTGTATATCTTTACAATTTAAAAACTCCTTGAAAGAAAAAGTTTTTTGCAATAACAGGACCCTATTTGCACAAATTCACAAAAGCAGGAGCCTGGTTGAAAGAATGTGACTTAACGTTTATTTTATATTCACAAATTACGAGTAATTTTTTTCACAATTTTACAAAAACGGACCTTTCACAAAATGTCTGGACAGACCCCTGATAATATATTAATTATATTTTTTATAAAATATATCAAATAAAGTATCAAATTTAATCATTAATAATATAAAATTTTGTCCTCTGTGTTATAGGGAACGTGTACAAAATATAACTCGTCCTGTTGTAGAAGATATAAACATCCAAGGCTTACAACCTGCTACAAATTATGTTTTCAGAGTTATTGCTTATAATCAACATGGACCTGGCAGATCATCAAATGAACTTTTGGTTCAAACTCTGAACGATGGTATATTAATTAATCTTATTATATTTATTAAGAATTATTTTTTTAAACCCGAAGATTTAAATTTTTTGGTATAAACTCAGTTATGATTATTTTCTTAATGTGTGTTGATTTGATAGTTTATTACGAAACACTTAAATTTTTTTCAGTTAAGTACGTTGTGCCTATTTTGTTTTTTATTTATTACATTTATCTAGCCTAATTAAAATTGACATTCATGTTTTTCAATATATATTCAATATTTTAATATTATCGAATCTTAAAACTGGATGTTCTGTATTTCATTTATATTTTTTGTACAATTTTCTTAAGAAATGGAATTACAAGAGAACATTGTAAGTTTCCTGTTAAACACGTTAATAATAATAAAATGCTATCGAAATATGAAGAATTTCTTTAGAGATCTAGCGCATCTGAGAGGAAATTTAAAAAACAACAACATTTTATTTGTTAGATTAAAACTAAAAGTGTTGATATTAAGCATCATTCCATTTAAGACGTAAATTGATTTTAATGTTCTATATAGGTAGTTATCTGATCATCATGAAATTTTCATTTTTTTCATCTCACTTTTATTTATTTTCCTAATAACTACTCCACATACTTATTTAACCTTTAAGAGCATAGTTGGTAGATTGCATGAATGGCCAACTAGATAAACAACTTATTACTGCAGAATGACACAATCACCAATGTCTTACAATTTAACTTTTTTCAGAATATTAAATCAGTATTTAAATTTAAAGGTTGTTAACATTTCTAACTTTATTGTGTTTAGATGAAAAGTCTAAATTTATCCACCTGTTAATTTTGTTTATAGTTATGATTTTAAAACTTTTTCTATAAGATTAAATTTAAATTCAGCACTAATAGAAATAAAAAAAATATGAGCAGAAAAGCAAAATTAATGAAGAAATAGTCCTAATTCATTTAGGAGAAATGTGTTGAATCACCATATAATTATTAATGCTTAATTAAGTTTGTTAATAGGTACAGATTGAAATTTTAAAAAAAGCTGTAAGTAAGCTATTGTACTAAAATCCAAGTGGAATAGAGAAATGGTACTAATTTATTTAAGGGAAGCTGAAAAATTCATCAAACTATTATTGATACTCAGTTAATTTGGATATTGGGTACTAATTTAAAAAGAAAAAATAAGCTACATATTAAAAAAACGTTCGTAATGGAGAAATGGTACTAGATAGTACCATTTCTCCAAAACTAAGAAGTCATTATATCTCTTCTGACAACAATGACAAATTGATTTTGGGGAGAAGACTAAAAAATCGTCATATCATTTTCGATGTCAATGCTGTTCAGTTTGTATGCGAGCAGCGCCCTTTGTGTAAGCAACGAGAACTAGTGAGTGTATTACCAACCTCGAAAGAGGCAAGTGTGTGAATTCAATGTGCAAATAAAATAACAGTCCGCTGCATTAATATGTGTTTTGAGTCTTGAGTTAAGAGAAATAACAAATGCTACTCAAATAATATTGGTTATAAGTGCTAATTGAAATAAAAAAAAGTAAGCGACAATTTAAAAGGCAAAATTGATCAAGAAATTTAAAAAAAAACTGCCTACTGTTAACGCCAATGATGCTTAGTTTTTTTTTGTTATATGTTTTATTGGTATTATGGTAAGAGCAGTTTCATTATATACCAAATCCTTTAATATAAGTACCAAGTATTTATGAATAAATTAGCTGCCCATGAAAACTGCACCAATAATGTGCATTTCTATTAAAGTCCTTCAAAGGTATAAGTACAGAAAATTGCTGGTTTGAGTTAAATTTAAAATATCATGAGTTGGCTTCAAGCAACAGTATTTTGCTAGATGATACTGAATAAAGTTAATATTTATTTTGATGGTATGTACTAAAAATTTGCTAAATCTAATAATATGAAGTCACTGATCAGAGCAAGGAATAATAATAATTAAAAAAAACAGGAATTTATTTTAGCTTTAATGATTGTTTTGTTATTTGTTTTTCGGTTTTGTGTATGATTTCCTAGTGTTGTTCTGTACTATTTTTGATTTATTAATTCTTGTTTTTTTTTTTTATCCAGTGCAAGGTACTGGTATTCAGATAGCATTCTATAAATAAAAATTTCCTTAAAATTTTTTATTTCGCTTATATATATTCATCCTAACTAATAATTTATATTTTTAACTTGTATATTGAAGGATTAAGGGCAATGTATTGATAAGCCAAATTTTTAATATTTAAAAGAATGTTGTTCATTTTTAGTATAAAATATAATTTCCATGTTAGCAGTAAGAAGATCCCATCTATTATGCTATGCATCTATTATTAGAAATGACAAAAACTTGTTGCACACCTATCTGGAAGAAAAAAAAACGTAGGAATAGTTTAATGTAGAAAAGCCTCTTTATCATTATATTTTGCCACAAGTCCTTCATTTGTTGCAGGATTTGTCTTAATAATGATTATATACATTATTATCTTATGTATAAGTTTACTCTCTCTTTAAAACTTCAAGATGGTATTTAAAGTAGGAAGTATTTATTGTATAAATCAACTCTTGAATTTAAGCTCTTTAAAAAAACAAATTTTTAATCCATTATAATTAAACTACAAGTTCATTGGCTGATATCAATTTTTAGACATTTTAGTATTAACTCAAAAGATGAACAATTAGATTGAAATTTTGAATGTGCTACAAAAGCATTACTTTTTATGCCTTTGTAATTATTTAATATTGTACAAATGTTTTACTATTGTATTAGTTGAAACCACAATTATTGAAATTTAAGGACTCAAAAAATATGCCAATCATTCTTTAAATTCTGTTCTTATTTCTATTTAAACTTTCTAGTTTATGTTCCCAATTCTCCAAACTCATTGACTGTCATTCCAAGAAACTCTACATCCATACTAGTTAAGTGGAATCCTCCAGACACAAAGAAGGAGTCTGCGGAATACTATAAGCTTTTTTATGTTGCATCCGGTTCATCAGATGAGCAAGAAATAGAGACCAACAGTACAAGCTATGAGTTGAATGATCTCAAAAAGTTTACTGAGTATACATTTTGGGTGACAGCTTTTAATAAAAATGGACCTGGTATGAGCACTGACGAAGTTACGGTCAGAACTCATGATGATAGTAAGTGTATCATACTGTTCTACTTTATATTTTGATAAAAATTCAAATTTATGTTTTGTTAAAATTAAATCAAACTACTAAAATAGAGCTTAAGCTACCTTAAATGAAAAGAAACATAATTAAGTGTTAAATTTTAATCAGGCCACTCACAGTGTTTATTGGCTAGTATCTCTTCAGATTTACTGTTCTAGAAAATTTTACTTTCTTCAAATTAAGTTAGTTTTATGTCTTTTATTTATATTAGTTGTAAAAAATATCAGTTAGAAAAAAAAAAAAGCATTTTAGTTATCTTAAAAAGATTTATTAATAAGAAGACAAAACACTTTGCCTTGGGAGTTCAGAAAAGGTAAGTACAAATTGTTATTTATGGAGTTGGAATTTTTAAAAATATTTGAATATTTCAAAGCAAAATATTTGAAAAATATTTTTTTTAGCATAACTACACTTAATTATATTACTTAATTTGACTTGAGAAATAACTGTTAACTAATATTTTATATTAACTTACATCCATCAAATTCTAGATTAGTGTTATTGTAATTTTTGTATCAGTTTTATTATTGGTCTATTAAATATAGAAATACTTTTTTTTTAAATGAAAGACTTCATTGCTTTTGCTGAATTGCTTTTTTTTTCTACTAAGATCTTTATATTATCATTTTTAATTTTTCAGAACCGGGTGATACTCCTCAAAATGTGAGCTTAGAACCAGCAAGTTCAACGGTATGATATATTTGTTGAATAGTATTTTTTTTTTAAAAAAGTGTTCCTATTTTATTGAATTTAAAGGGTACAACTTGTAATAAATTTAATTGTTAATACTCAAAATGTGAAGAAAATACTTAACTGTAAAAGAAAAAAACTATCAATATGGTTTTTCCTAAATAAAAAATATGCTATTTATTAGGGATCTTCAACCTGTGGCCAGCTGAATGCATTTTAGTGGCCCACAAAGCCTTATCCACGAAATGTCAATGTAAAACTATCAATCACAAACTATCAGCATCAAAAACAATGTCAAACTATCAGTAGTCATAGTAAAACTATCAATAGTCATAGTAAAACTATCAATGCTACATATTCACACCTGCAGTAGGGGGATGAGAGAAACTGTTTTATCAGACTGGAGACGTCCTTGGGGTTGACTAGAAAGGAAGAAATAGCGTAGAATTTCTTCTAACGTTGTTATCAGTTAATCAGGTAGTTGACAAAAATGTAAGTGATTGTTGGTAATGTAAGTAATGATTGGTTGACAATTAAGCAGGGCTTGTGCAATTGATTTACCTAGATTTACTCATATTTACTTAGGTTTCTTAATTCATAAGTATTTGAAACTTGAATAAATGCACAATGGCCAGCCTTGATAGTAAAAAAAGGAAAGTTGAAAAAAAAGTGTGATTCTTTCAAGAAAAGGGGATGTCTCTTTTTTTTAAATAAAAATTCACAAACACAAAACAATGTTTTATTCATTATGCCCATTTATTAAGCAAACAATTATGATAAAAAAATATGGTGTGTGTATGGTGCCATTCATAAAAACTACAATTTTAGCTTCCTGGAGCAAATATAAAAATTTCACTTTTATGAAAAGTTAATACTATTACATAGTATGATGGTTAACACATTTTATGTCTTCTTTGCAATGAAATACTGGCGATTCAAAGCGAAATACTGGCAGCTCCATATCAAATTATCAAGCTAATCTTGGGGAAGATTACTCCACTCAGCAAGCAATGCTCTCCGAAGTTCTGATACTCAAGTAGGAGGTGGTTTACGGGCAGCAACTAGTCGGTCAAGCATGTCCCATACATGCTTTATCGGATTCTAGTATGGTGAGTTGCCGTGAATGGAACACATCTGACAAACTTGCAAACATATAGACCAATATTTCGTTAATATCTGTTCATGGTTTGCCTTTAAACTGTAGTAACCATGGTTGCAAATAGCTAAAGAGACACGTTGGATGCAGTGCTTCCTCTGCTTCTTTTAGAAATTACTGCCAAATACCAGTTTTCGTTCAGAGTTGTAATTAGGGTCATTACTCAAATCTGATGTGATGGCATGTGGAAATAATGCTATGATGAGTTTTCAGTTTCATCTAATGAGAAAATTTGTGCAAGAAATCTTTGAACATGTGATGATTGTTGTCGTAAAAGTAGTTCATTTTATATGGATCGAAGAACTTAAACACATGTTATTTCAATAGCTCTTGAGTGATTTGAAAAGCTGAACGTAAGTGATGTTGTGTATTACGCTAAAATACATTGGTTGAGTCAAGGAAAGATGCTTCAGTGCCTATTTTCATTGCAGAACAAAGTTTAGCCATTCAGAGATTCCAAACAAAATTTCATTAGTGACTTCAATGATGAGAAGTGGTTAAGGGATTTTGTTTTCCTAGTTTATATTACTGGTCACCTCAACTACCGTTTATTGAGGAAAGGTCAATTTATTCATAATATTTATGAGCATGTGAAAGTTTTTGATATAAAATTAATGCTATGAAAAAGTCAATTACTAGAAAAAGTTTCAATTCAGTTTCCTAAATTAATGGAGTTTTTGAAGAAAAAAAATATAACATGGAACTCGGGCAATTATATACAGAGCGTTTTAAATCTGGAAGAAGAATTTGAAATAAGCATATCTGAATTCGGTGAAAAGGAAATTTTCATGGATATGTTCTCCTCACCATTCTCTTTAGTTGTATTCATTCTCTGTAATCAATTGTTGATTTTGTAGAGTTTAGTATAAAAATCATTAATCCTTTTTGATCAAGTGGAACTGCAGATTAATCATTACAGATATCCCAAAGAATACATAATATTAGTGTTTGTAGTTCTCTTTTTTTTTTACGTTGGAAAGTTTTTTTCATAATGAACTTCCTGGCAAAATATTTTTAAGTAATTAATAATAACTTCACTTAATTAAAATTGTTATTTTTTTTTTACTGCAAAGTTATATCTTTTTTAATATTTTGATGGAATTGTAATTAAGCTAATTGAAATTTTATGTACTTTAGAGTATAACCATAAGATGGGAACCTCCTCCTTTAGAATACCAGAATGGTGTCATTACTGGATATAAAATACGTTTTAAGAAACGAAGTGGAAATGCTGAAACTAAAACCGCAGATGGAAGCAGACGATTGTATGCTCTTGTTGGTAAGTTTGTAATTATGTGTTATATCTTAACTGTAACAAATAAAATAGTAAAAAAAAATTATGTCTTAATTTATTATAAAACTGGCTGATTAAATTTGATTTTTTTTATCATGTCAAGTCGTGCTTATTGATGCATATTCGGAAATACAGAAATGGAAGCTGTTTTTTAATCTCTGCTTTTAAAATATGTAAAATAATATATCAGAGATAAGTTCAATTACTGGCATATGCCGATGACATCAATGTCATAGGAAGGTCAGAGAGAGAGAGAGCAGTGAGAGAGGCCTCAGCATAAAAACAGAAGTATACAACTGTATTAAAATGGCAAACAAATGTTTCTTTGGACTTAAAGCAATTAAGATCAAGCCTAATCAGCTGAAAAACCAAAATTAAAATTTATAAGACTCTTATTCTACCTGTATTGCTCTATGCAAGTGAAACATGAACACTAAGCGCAGACACTGAGCATACTCTTGGTATTTTTGAAAGGAAAATCCTTAGAAATATTTTTTGCCCAGTACAGGAAAGAGGCTGTTGGCGAATCTGATACAACTTTTAATTATATAGACTCTGTGGACAGCCACAGATAGTGCAGGTCATCCGAAGCAATAGATTAAGATGGCTAGGCCATATCTGGAGAGGTCCAGAAAACAACGCAGTGCGAATAGCCACCTTTAAAAATCCTTCTGGATCTTGGGCCAGAGGAAGACCTCCAACTAGATGGCTCGATGACACTACTAAAGATCTCAAAGTAATAAAGATTAACAACTGGAAAAAAGTCACCATGGATAGAAGGCGTTGGAGGCTACGCGTGGTTGAGGCAGCCAAGGCCTGTAAGGTTCTGTCATGCTGAAGAAGAAGAAAATAGTCTTCAGATTAGAATTGTAACTCTACATTTAAGGTGCATCATTAGAATATCACAAATCACTCTCATCAGCCACAAATGTAGGATAAAAACAGTCATAAACCAATTTATTTTTCAAATGAAACAAATAATGGGGAATAGGTGAAAAAAAGTTTTTTAGAAAGACTTGTGGTTTTCAATTAATCAGATTTTGAAAATGCTTTTTTGATTATTCAATTCAATATTAACCCTAAAGGCGTGAGTCCCTGAGTAAAATTGTGCTGAAATTTCTTTATTATGCTTTATTTTCTCATCATAGGTAGGATGCATTTATGCAAGAAAGCCTGCATCTCAAATTGCAGAGAAAGTCACGACTAACTATATGAATTACCTGATAGTTAGCTTTGAATTATACACACCCCTAATGTGTGTAATTTTTAGTTCATTACTGATAGGAATACTAAAAAATTTTATTACGGCTGTGATTACAGATCAACCTGTATGAATGTTTTCTTTATCATGTTAGTTTGTAGCGATTAATATAAAGCATTTAGTACAAGTTACTCAAATTATAATTTGGGAATGGATTTTAAAGCTTTCCTTCTTTTTTAATATTTACCACTTGTGCTAGTTGCTTATTGCCATCAAAATAATTATTTTTTAAAATTTTTTAAGATTAAAATTTAATTTTCTAGACTGTCTTATAACACTATTATTTTTTATTTTGATTAGAATGCTGTAAGAAAACCATTAATGATTTGTTGGAAATCTAATTTTTTATTTTAACATTTTTAGTTATAGCAAAAAATTTTAAATTGTACTTAATGGAATGTTATTTATGTTTTTTTTGTGTAAAATTAATCTTTAGATTTGGAAAAAGGAGCTGAGTACATGGTCAAAATTGCAGCCATTACAGCTAAGGGTACAGGTCCATTTACTGATTGGCAAACTGTTGAAACTTACTCAAATGATTTGATTGGTAAATATATTTAAGATTTATAATATTGTTATATGGACCTCATCAAAATGCATTCATATTTTTTAAATATATTTTCATGCGTCACAGTTAAGTGCAAATTTATTTCACAAATCTGCTTGTGAAGAGAACTGATATTACAGTGTTGGATTAAAGGGCAGTCCATTCACAATGTTGGGTTGCCACTGGTGACTAAAAAGTGATTATTTGGATCTTTTTTTCGTTTTTGGGCAACTTTTTGAACTAAAAAGCATACAAAGGCAATTATTTTTTTTGAAAAAGTGTGGACTTTTTGAAGGCCTAGGTGACTATTTTCTCATATATCATGATAATATATAAATGTATAATCAGCAATAGTTTTTTGTTCTATTCCGCTTTTTTTAATTTTCCAAAAAAAAAAAAAAAAGAGCAACTTTATGCTTTTATAAACGAAATGTATGAATAAAGAGAATTGAAGAATAAGAGAGAGATAAGGGGTAAAGTCCTTAGGGTTGCTTCATATATGATCAGTTTTCGCTTAGAAGATTTTTGTTTATTGTATTGATCATCTTTGATGGCAGAAATGAATCTAAGTTGGTGTAGTTTTGTGCTACTAATTGTCATTTTTTCCTAATGGTTTTGCTCAGTTCGAAGACTCTTCAATCTATAAATTTGCATTATTTTAATTTTATTTAAGGGAACAATTTTTTTTCATTTCATTTAACTTGCATTTGTGAAAATTTTTTAGTAAATATGGAGAATTTAATTCTTCAGTTTCAAACATTGACACTTTGGGATATACAAACTACATGATCTTCAACCGAGTCTTATCTATAAATAACATATTGTGAAGCGTATTCAAATAATTTTAAAAGTCCAATTCTGCTATTTAAAAATTGAGCATCACAATATCTATTAAAACCATTTGAAAATCAAACTTAGTGATTCATATTCATGGGATTTTAAAAATATCAAGATTTAAACCGAACAGTACTGTCTGTATTCACCAATTTTTAAAATTAAACATCGCAGTTCAAATTTATGTCACTTTAAAATCAAACATCACGATTCAATTAAATTAAATTAGTAACAATTTTTGAATTGATTCTATGTTGTATAATTATATTGTTTGTTATTTGTTTGATTGTAGAAAGTAAAGTTCCTGAAATGCCAAGCTCGCTGAGGGCAAGACCATCAGCTAATTCAATCTTTGTCAGTTGGGTACCTCCACGTGATCAAACCATTATTGTCAGAGGTTACAAACTTGGTTGGGGTATTGGTTTGGCTGACGTTTACACTAAAATTTTAGATGGCAAGCAACGACATTTTACAATTGAAAAGCTACGTAAGTAAAGTTTTTGTAAAAAACATAACTCTCATTTGTAGGAAATGCAAAATGTTTTTCCCCCTACTTTTTGTGAATGTTATTGATAAATTAAATGAACTGAAGAGAAAATAACTCTGTAATTGAAATTTAAATCACATTTAATGTCATTGTTCTTAGAAAGTAATTCACTAAATATTTTTGTTTTTCACTTTATGGAGTTATTATTTACCAGCAAAAGAATAGATCAGTCAGAATATCAATAATGTAAGTTTACTTTCTGAAAATAACCATTTCTTGCAATTATTTCCTTGAATTTTATTTATTTACTCTATCGTATTTAGTATGCATTAACAAATTTAAGCATATAAAGTTCTAGAGTTAGGCTTATTGAAAAAAAAAAAAAATTATTGCCATTAGTCAATACATCATAGCATGTCTTTATATGTGTTGTAAGTGGAATGTGTTAAATCTTCTATTGTTAAATTTTTGAAAAAGTTAATATATATAATGAGCGATTTTTCTGTTGTATGACTGTTTTCTTGTTGTCGATTACCCATTTTTTAGTTTTTAAAGCTGTCAACTTGTACTAAATGGAAGTAAAAAAAAATTTTTTTTTAATTTTAAAAAAATTGCAGATTTGTAAAAGACAGTAATTTTTTTTTTTTTTAACTTTCGAGAGCTTCTTTTAAGAAATTCAATTTAAAAGATGATTTGTACATTGGTTTCTAAAATGTACCTTTTTCTTTCTGTAATGGAATAAGGGTTTGTTCTTTGATCTCAATGTGTAATTTAGCTTAATTATTTATTTTTTATTACTATTATCAAACCCTTTTTTTTCCAACTTTTTTTAATGATTCAACTAGGCTCTTAGTTTATTTTAAAAATGTATAATTATGTTCAAATACTTGCGCAAATGTTTGTCCCTTTTGTTAAATTTCTAATAAATGCCTTCGGCTGAGTTTGAAAACAAAGGCATCATATGATGTATTCTATAACATAAAGGCAACTACAATATTCTAGCAACTGGTATTTTGAACCTATTCCAATGTTATTATGGATTACTTAGATTGTTTGGTTAAATACTTATTTGAATTCTTTCATAATTAAAAAGCAAATAGGAATAATATTAATAAATCGTATGTAGTTAAATGAAAATATTTCTAATTCTTCTTAAATTTTGAGTGAGAAAAATATTTATTGTTAAAATTTGAAATTCTAGCATTGCTACTAATATCTTTGTCATAGACTCTCAGAATTGTGTTACAGTTTATTGGGATTTTCATAATATGTATTGCATAATATGCATCTTTATATATTGTTTTTATTTAAACTTTATGTTTTTTTTTAGAATCTTCGAGTGAATATGTTATAAGCTTGTTGGCTTTCAATGAAGCAGGTGATGGGAGGCCTGTATACGAAACTGTTAAAACACAAGTGGAAACCAGTAAGTTTTTTTGTCATAAAATGTATGTCACTAAGTGTGTACTTATGTATGTCACTAAGTGTGTCACTAAAAAATATGTCAGTAAGGGTGTAAATTTATGTAGCCTTATTTCTTGTGTAGGTTGAAAAGGATGTTTTGTAAGGGGGAAATATATCTACAAGATCATATTTTCAATTTCCTAAATGCAATTTTTTAAGTATAAATAAACTAAATTTGAAAAACCTAATTAGCAGATACAATTGATCAGATTGTGAATTATTTCAAGATATAAATATTTTATAATCTGAGTGTATATTAAAGATTAATGAAAATGAGTGGAATAAAAATTATTAGAATTTTCTCTATATTTTTAACTTATTTTATGAGTTCTATATACTTGCAGCTTATGTGCTGTAAAATAAACTTATTGATTTTCTTAGTTTTTCTTTTTGTCTTTTTTGTATTTATTTATTTGACAAACGAAACAGTCTCTTCGTGAGAAAACTAACTAAGGCCAATAGATGTCGCTCCCTCCAGAATTAAACTGTTAGAACTATTTCGATGTAAAAGAAAAGAGTGAGATGAAAATGTATAAGCAAATAATTGTGGTTCAGAAATGAGTTTATGTAACTCATTCCTAAATGAGCTTTTGTTAAATATTACATCATAAGTATCATCCTTATTGGTTTTTCCATTGTCTTAATTAATGGTCATCCTATATATATATGTGTGTAACATAAAAAGCTTCAATTAATCTTTTTATGTTATTTCTTTTCTTAATTTATTATTCAAAACAAAACTCTCTCACACTTTTAAATTCACACCATGCCGGCTTGTGAAGATGGCAGTCGTGGGAGCAGGACAAACAGGCACAGAATTTAAGAAAAAGCAAATTAATTTTATTTAATCAATATGACGAGAGAGAGTGTGTGGATATCGACAGAGAGAGAGTCACTAACTCTTCGTGTTTCCTAAATGTTAGAGAAAATCTTGCAAAGAAAATCTGTGAAATGTCTTGATTTAGGGAAAAAGGGAAATCTTAGCAATTGTAATTGGTTTATAAAGTAGGTTGCGCGATTCCCACAAAGAGCAAAGGGGAAAATGTCTTACTTTTAATGAATGCATACTTGAGACAAAATAGATTAAAGGACAGGATGTGAATTTAAAAGTGTGAGAAAGTGTTTCGTTTTGAATAATAAATTAAGAAAAGGAATAACATAAAAAGATTAATGAAAGCTTTTATGTTATGTATATATATATATAACATAAAACTTACTTTTTGTAAAGAACTATAATATTCTATTGTTTAAAGCATCATATGTATTTATATGTACACACACATGCATATGATGCTTTAAACAGTAGAATATTATTGTTCTTTACAAAAAGTAAATTTATTTCCTATCTGCAAGAAGATTTACAAGTTTTCTTTGAGCATTTAGTGATTACAAAAGTAGATATTACCTTCCTTAAAGTTGCTTCTTGTAATCTTTATTTTGATTTCGTATGTACACACATGTTATGTTGCTTAGTTTCCTTTGTACATATGTATTATTTTACAACATTGCTTATTTGTGGATAAGAGAATTCATATCTTAAATTTGTGGCCTGCTTTTAGCAAAAAGAGACCCAGAAATTCAGATATCCTATATCCTAAGGAGGCACAGTTTCCAAAGTCAAGTGAAATTGCTGATTTTAGTTTCACTTTATAATCTTTTGCTGTTGTATTTTTGTTTTTTAAAAATACATATAGTTTAGTTTTTCAAATTTTAATGATAATAAGTAACTTTTAAAATTTTAATTTATTTCTGCATTATTTTCAACTGACTTTTAAATTAAAAACTTCATAGTTTCATCAGTTATTGTTTAGATTTGTCAATGACATTGGACTAATGATATTATACAAAACCTTGGTATTTATTTCCATTTAAAATAAATGAAGGCTCAAAGCATGTTTTCTTATTACTTTATCAGGAGTAAAAGCACTTATAATATTTCCTACTTACAGCTCCAGAGCCGTTAACACCAATGTTACCCCCTGTTGGATTGAAGGCTATTGTTCTGTCATCCTCAACAGTTGTTTTATACTGGACAGATACAACTCTTTCTCGTAATCAAGTTGTGACTGATAACAGATTTTATACTGTTCGGTATACTGCTTACATATACTCTTCAGCTCCAAAGTATCGTTTCTTCAACTCGAGTGATTTGAATTGTATGATAGATGATCTCAAGCCCAATGCTCAATATGAGTTTTCAGTCAAAGTTGTGAAAGGAAAGAGGGAGAGTACTTGGAGCATGAGTATTTTAAATACAACCGAGGAAGCAGGTTGGTAATTTGTTTATATTTTTAAAAAATTTTGTTAACATAATTTCTTTTAACTACTCAGCCTCAAGTACTTAATCCATGAAAGTATTTTGTTTTTACTCATAACTAGTATAACATATCATGTAACATATCACTCATTACATATTAATGTTTTTACCCATAATTGGAATAATTTTTCTCTTAATAATTTGATGTACTTGTGGCTTAATACAAAAATAACCTCAGTCAATATATTTTAAGAAGGTAACTAATCAACTGAAAATGACAACTTTTAAGAGCAATATTAAAGTAAAACTTGAGATGAGTAAATAGGAAGACGGTTCCATAAATGTTATGTTAAAAACATAAAATGCTTCAGTACAATAACTTCTTTAACGGATTCTAATATAAATTAAAATGTGAGAGAAAAAGTACCAAATTACAAGACCCTTAACTATTAGAAATGTGATGTCTGTTTTTGCATTTAGCTACAGATATACTTTCTGAAATTCCAAAATATTGGGGGTTTTATTTTCCATCTTCAAGTATTTTGACTTCTGTAAAATCCATACAAGGTTTCATTTGTATTAATCATTAAAACTGTACACCAATAAGCATAAGTCGCTTCCTCTTTTATTTGATTAGTTTGTTACATATTTGCTCTAGCAATTTCTGAGCTTTTTTTCTCATTCAAAGAGCCAAAATTCAGTTTAATGCTAATGTACTTTTATTTAAAAAAACATTAACTATCATTTTCAACCACACTATAAAAAATGATAGTTTTTAAATAGTCATGCTATTTTTTGTTTAGCTTATCTTATGTACTATTTACACATTAAATAGCTATAAAAAGAATTTCTAACACTGTAATATGTTCTAATAAACTTATTTATTTAAAGTTTGAACTTCAGAAGGAATCTTTTTCTATACTTTTAAAATCTTATTTTTGTTCTTTTAGCTCCTTCATCTCCACCAAGGGACCTCACTGTAGTTCCTTCTGAAGATGACAACTCTGTTATTAATTTGCATTGGCAGCCACCTAAGCAACCCAATGGCCACATAACAGGTCATTATCAAATTTTTTTTCTATGCATAATAGATTATAAAGACAATAGATAATAGACTATGCATAATTGATTAGTAGGTACATTTCTAACCAAAGAAGTAGCCTCATATTAGTGAATTAAAGTTATTAATGATATGTTTTTAAGAAAATGAACGTAGTTTAAATTGAGCTGTATTCAATTTCTTAAATACATATTTTGAGCTGTATCCATTTTCTTAAGTATGTGTTAAAAGATTTTATAATTTTTTAGACACATATTTCATAGTTGTATCAAAAAGATGCTCTGTGAGAATATGTAAAGTGATAATGGATTATGAAGCCTTTGAACTTATGTTAAAAAGGATTTTAAGTAATATTGGGTGCATAGCATTTTTTAAAAGTGTTCAAAGGTGCTTAATTTTGATTTAAATTTTTTAAAAGCCCTTAAAGGTGCTTTTTTATTCAGGATTTGTAAAAAGTGCTTTATTTTTTAGCTTTAAAAAAAATAGATTTTTTTCTTTGACATGTCAATTGTCATTCTAAATTACAAAAAATGCATGATTTTCACAATTTTCTCTGCAATATTTATCAGAAACTAGTTATTTTATCATGATTATGTGAAGTTTGCGAAAATGTTTTTGAATTTTATTGATTTTAGGTTCATAAATTAAGAACTTTAAACGATAGAGAAAATTTTTTATTATTGCACAGATTGTAATTGTGAATTTATTTTTTTTTGTTAAGTTATAAAAATATTTTTTTAATGCTTAAAAAGTACTTAAAATGTGCTTATTTTTTGTTGAAAAATCTGGCCACACTCCCTGTAATATGATGATAATAATCATCATAATAATTATCTTCAGGAAAGTCATTAATTTTTTTTTCACAATTATTCTATTTCCTTGAAATGATGCCTTGAAATAACAAAATTTCTTTATTCAATTGCTTAAATAGGTTATGTGATATTTTACACTACTGATAAAACACAACGAGACAGAGATTGGGTTGTAGAAGGTGTTGTTGGTGACAAAATGACCACTATATTGAAAGGTCTTACTCTGGATACAATGTATTATTTTAAGATACAAGCAAGAAACAATAAAGGATATGGCCCACTTTCTTCTGAAATAGCTTTCCATACAGCTGCAGGTGCTTATTATCTTTAAATTATTTTCTTTCAACTAATTATTCATAAGTTGTTATCATTTTAAATTTTATTTATTTGAAGTACATGAAATAAATAATAGAAGTAGTTATTTTTATACAATAATATTGAAACTCTAATTCTGTAGTGGAGATAAATAAAATTTATCTTTATTTACCATCTTTTTTCCTTAATATTTGATTTCCATGTGCAATTCTTTATTTCTTTTGTAAAATTCTTTTCTAATTGTCTAAAATTACTCTTTTTTTTATTTTATTTTTTAAAAAAGTTACTTTCCCATAACAGAACTAAATATGTTTATTTTTTAAAAATTTTTTCAAGAGTGTGTTATTTTGAATACTATTCAATTAAAATTAATTTTCTTTCAGTACAACTATCCATTAGTGTTCACAGGCTTCCTTTTGTAGAACGTTCTCCATAAACTCTCAAAACTTATTTCGCAATATAAATCGTTTTTAAATGTCTTTTTTTTTACAATTTATCAATGAAAGCACATAGCAATAATTTAGTTGATAATGTAGCCATTTTTATTTTTAAATCTAACTTTTAAAAATTTTTTTTTGTATATGCATAAGAAAACTGTTAAATTTAATTTATTTATTTTATGTGAATAATTATATATTACTCAATCCTGATATTTGTTGCATTTAGGACATATTTTTTAATAGCAATTGTATGTATCTATAGTTTTTCTGAGTATTTCTTATAATTTGAGATTTTGCTATGTACCTTGAATTTTTGAGCTTTTTTAAAACACATTTAGTACTTAAATGAATTATTAAAAAATTACGACTTTAGTATTAATGGCTTAAAATTGAATAAAAGAAACATGATCTGATACATTTTATAAGATTTCAAGTAAATTTATTTTGTAAAAACTAAAATCTGGCCTAAAAACTGGAAGAATGAATAAAAGCTTTTTGTTTCATCTGAATTGTTAATAATTTTATTAATTTTGTATCTTTTTGCTTAAAGTAAACTCATTTGGTTCCTAAAGCAATAAATGGTTATTCAACTATGGCAACTTGGTTTGAAAACCATAGTTTCCAAAATAAAACTTATTTCTATTTATTTTTTATTTATTGGTTCCTATTATATTTTATTTTTTGGTTCTTATTATATTTTATTTTTTGGTTCCTATTATTTTTTATTTGTTGATCTATTTACTGTTATTCTTGTTTGACTTGGTTTGATCAACCTACTTTTCAAAATAAAACTTCTTTTTTAATTTGTTAGAAACATTTATTTAATTTATTAATTAAAAGAAAAATTTATTAAAATTTACTTTTTTAATTTATTAAAATAAAAATTTTATTTAAAGTTATAATTTTATGAAAAGTTATAGTTTTTGCTTGTTTAGCATGTTTTCTTTGTGTGTGTGTGTGAGAGAGAGAGAGAGAGATTTGTATTCTAGGGATATTGATATCAATTGGAATAAATAGCTTTTTTTATGTTAATAATTACCTTTCTTTTTATTGTTTTGTCATGATTTTTTTTTCAGTTTCTTTTTTTATTATTTATTTTGTTTTATTATTTATTTATATTTATTTTGTTTTGATTTTTTATTGCATGATGTTTATTTATATTTTGAAATTTAGGATTAGCACTGGCATCTGGATCATCATATTTTGGTAAGTTTTATTTTTTATATTATTGTTTCTCATTCTAATTTTACAAAATTTGAATTTGCAGTAAAGTTGAGATAAACCTCATACGAAATTAAACTGAATCTCCATTCTTGACTCATTGCTCTTTTTATTCTTTGTAAAAATGAGAAATTAAAGCTCCAAATTATAATTAATTTTAAATAAGCATAATTATATTTTTATGGATTACCAAAATTGTTTTCAATTCTAATTTTTGTTTTGCTTTAAGTTTTATTTCTTAGTAAAATTCAAAATAAAAGAAATGTCTATGCCAGAGTGCTAAGTTTTAAGTGGAGGTTATTCTTCATTTTTTTAAATTAACAACTTAGAAAAAAATATTTAGGCTTAAATTTGAAATGACTTTTTTCTTGTCTCAATATAAACCTTGGTGTTTTGGACATTTGGACCCTGAATAGTTGCACAAAATGCAAAATTGAATTTTTTTGAAATATGTTTAGTAATAATTTTTTTTCCTTCTTTTTAGAGAGTAAAGGATTTGCTAATAGTTTGCTATACATTATAATTTCTTGCATTTCTGGCATTACAATGATCATCATAATTGGTGTTAGTATTGCAGTTTGTAGACGTCGCAACAGATATTTAGCCCCTGATGGTTGCAAAAGGTATTAAATTGATATGTTAAGAAAAGCAGCTAAGTCTTTAATTATCTACTGCTTATGTATTTTAATTCTTATTTTTAATTTTTAGTTATAAATCTTCAAAAGGGGCATCATCTAAAAATAAAGGTGCTGCTAAAGATTTAGTCCCACCAGATCTTTGGATTCACCATGATCAAATGGAATTGAAATCAATGGATAAAAGTAGCAACTCTAACATGTATTCATCTTCATCTCAAAGGTCTTCTCAGGAATTGGGTCATGAGCCTCTTTTAAATACATTAGAAAAAAAGAAAAGTGCCTATTTAGGTAACAATTAAATCATCAGTAAATTAATTGTTGTTTTTATAGGTATATGCATATGTTTTCCTTTTATGTTGTTGTTTTTTTTAAATTTCAAGCTGAGTTTATAACTCGTCTCATTAGCTTATTTAGAATACATGTTGTTGTTTTCAGCTGGATTTTCTCTTTGTCTTCGTTTCATCTATTTTTCCAGCCTTATATTCCTGATTTGGTTATGTTTTTAAAACAGCTTACACATTTCCTTCAATGACATCTGATAGCAAAATTTGAAATGTGTTTTTCTTATCATTCGGAAATAATACTTAAATTATTTTTCTCCTATTATTGCAAACCTAACAGGGGAAATCTGGGCAGCTGTCGAATTCTTCCTTTTACTTAATTTTAATTTCGAAAATTTAAATTTTTTGTCTTCTTGTTAATTTTTTGTTAACCTTTGTAATTTTTTTTAATTATAATTTTTGTTTAATTTGCATTTTTTTTTTCTTTATGATTTATTATTTGTGTTATTTTTATTTTGTTCACTTTCATTTTTTTTTAAATTTTATGTTTATGGTTTTATTAATTTATTTTTTACTTGAATAAAACTATAGATTCCCTCAATGATGATCTTTTACCTAATTCTGACAAATGTTATGTCAAGTGCCGTCCAATAAGAGCTGCTCCTTTAAAAATTTCACTTGATCACCAAAAACCTGTTATAAGTATTGACGGTAAGTTTTTGATCTAGACTAATTATTTTTTTGCTTTAAAAATATAGATGTTGCCTTGTTTAATTTTTATTTTATATAAGAGGGAGTTCGGAACATGAGATTCAAAGTAATATAACTTTTGAACAAAAAGTAAAAAAAATATTTTTTTCTCTTCCAGCTTCAGTTATCACCTCTAGTGGTGGCATGCACCCAAGTGCTTATGATGTAGGAACAACAAATAGCTTAGGACGTCCCATGTATCCTAGAACTCAGTACAATATTCAACGAAATCTTGGCCCCCATGATATTCAACCTGCAGGTATGTAACATTTTTGTATTTGAGTTCAATTTATTTGTTAAAATAGCTGGATATTATCTTTTGAGTATTAAAAAAAAAAATTTAGATTTGGTTAAAATTTTATTAGTAATATTGGCTATTTTAGTGAAAACTGTCTAATCTGTGCATAAATAATTTGAAAACACTTTGTAACAACTTTAGAAAACTCAGAAGCAAAGCTTTACGTAAAATGTGATAATTTTCATAGTGTACAATGTTTCCACAGAAATATATGAAAGATTTATTATTGTAATGAATAGAAATTATAGTGCTAAGTGTAGTTCTCAAAACCTAACAACATCATGTCCAAACTAAATTTCACGAGATTGACTTGAGACAGAAAGTTGTAATTTTTTATATATTTAAGAAAATTTTTTTCATGCTTTCCAAAAAGTTTCTTCATTTACAATTTCCTAAGAAAAAATGTAAAAGTTCACTCTCCTGGTCTGTCCGAAACTTTTTCTTAAATTTATTTAATTAAAAAAATTTACACCAGCATTTCAGTAATTTAAAGCAATATTAGTAAAATATATATGTTTGTTTATATATTTGTCCCAAGGTTTTCATGACACTCCTCTTGTGTGGGAAATTTTTATATGATTTTAATAAAAAATGAATTTTTTAGTCTCGTACCTGCAACATTGTTTATTCCCACCATACTGTTGGATTAAATGAGTTTTTTGTTCAATTCATCTCATATTTATCATATATTATCGCAGCTTTTGAACAGTTCTAAACCGAGCTGTGGTTTCTGTTGTCCTTTTCCGGTTTTAACAGTTTTATTCTACATAGAATCATTTTTTAAAAAAAAATAATGCGTATTATAATGTGTAATAATGTGATAATTCCAATAGAAGAACTCTCTTAGGCTTAAATCTGTCTTTAGAACTTAGTAACAAGCCTTATATAGAAATAAATGTAATACTCTTCATATACAGAAAGGTCACTCTACTTGTCTCCATAAGTATGACTTTACATCGTTAATCTAAGTTTCCTTTATTATGGTCTTGTTAAGTGTCCTAATAACGAATAAATGTGAATTTTTTTTAGATATTTTAAAGCACTTCTTGATTTTAAGAATTTATGATCTGAAACTGTCAAATTTTTTGAGAATCACCCATGCACACCTTGCACTAAATTAAAAAATATTCAGATCAATATAAATTAATTTTAGTCACTCTCTGGAGACAAGTTTATTTGTTATGGTAAATGTGCAATAGCAACCAAAATTTGATGTTTATTTAGTTATTATAATTAGGTAATCATTTTATTTATTTCACAATATTGTGATCTCTTGTGTTTGTTTGTCTCTTGTGTTTGCACTTTTTACACTGAATATATGTTTTTAGATATTTTAGATTTTTGTCAGCTTTTGAGATAGCTTCACTGATTTTGTTATCACGAGTTTGTTCATACATCAATACTTGAAATACAATACTTATGATTTTGAAAATGATAAAAAGAGCATGTTATTAACTCCTTGCTAGTGTCGTCCGAATCCTGTTCGGGCAACTATTATGTGCATTTGTTGTGAAGCCCGAGCTGCTTTCGTTTCTACTTTAGGATACTTAATTCACTATTTTCCTAATAGATGGCATTAGTGGTCATAGTTTTTTTTTACCGATTACGACTTCAGTCGAGGGAGGGAAATGTGAGTGGGGGTTTGGGGATATACCATACTGTAAAAGATTTGTAAAATTTATGTTTTGAAAATAATATTGTTGTATTTTTATATTATATTATACTAGTAATATTATATTTAGCTTCAAAATTTTGTTTAATTTTTTCTAATTGAATAAGNTTTTTTTATCCCTCCTGAAATCTCCTGAATTCTTGTTAAGGGAACTCCTGAATGTTAATTTTGCTAGGTTGGCACGTCTGAATTATAAATACAGTAGTTATTGCATTTAAAATTTTATTTTTGCAATAAAAAACCATTTGCTAACTTTTATGATAATAATATGATAAAAAATTTCAATTTTTTTGTCCATTTTTCTGAAATATATGTCATTGTTAAGGGGTTAAAGATAGAGATAAAAACAAATACAAACACTGCAAAAAAAAAAAACCTTGGTTAATAGAGAAGTATTTTGATCAAAGAGGTTCATATTATTAAGGTTCTACTGTTCTGTATATTTCAGTTTAGTTAAATATTTACACTAACATGTCATATTTAAATTTTTTTCTTTCCTTTCTTCAAAGTTGTTCTTGGGGAACCTCCTCCTCCTCCTGTATCCTTACCTCTATGTCCCCCACCTTCTTGCACAGCTACCATACGTTCTGTATCAGAAACACACGGCAGACTAAATTCAGAAAATCAGACTGTGGCCTTCATTCCAACTGTTCATGAAACACCAGAAGTTGGCAACTGTAGCACTCTTACTAAAAAGCAATCCTCTCAGCAACATCCTATGCGAAGTTTCACTATTCCTGCTTCTTCATCTCAGAGTGTTCCAGCTACCCCACTTTCAAAACATACAGGTAATGATGTCATTTAGGGTGAAATATTCCCTTCCATATTAATAATAGTTTGCTGTTCCTTAGGGATGCAAAGAGATTGAGATAAAATTGGTTTTTCAATAGGAAAAAGAAAATGTTTTCTTTACAGCAACAATTAGTTATTGTTTATTTTTCTTAACAAAATTGCTCAAATATACTCATGAGCTCTATGTAAGCTCACCGCTAATTTAGAAAAACAACTCTGCAAATTAAATTTATTTTTGTTGCAGAGAGAGAAATCTGGTTTTGTATTTTTTTTTCTTTTATTTGCCCAGAATTTTTTTTATCTCAAATCTTCAAGGCTACTTAAAAATTATATCTTTTTTTTCAGGAAGATGATATTTATGTGTCACAGTTACCTTCAACACAATTTAGAAATCTAAATATATGATTTTTCTTATTGTAATAAGCTCGTATCATAATGTGCAATAAAGAACACATCGTATAATAAATAAATCCTGATTCATATCAATGGGATTTATCAAGCATCTATCACAACTCCCATTAATGCGATTAAATTTCTAATCATGGATCATTATTATTGTCAGGGGTCTGTCCAGACATTTTGTGAAAAGTCCTGTGTTTGTAAAATTGTGAAATTACGCTTATTTTATATTCGCAAATTACTCATAATTTGTGAATATAAAATAAGCGTTAAGTCAAATTCTTTCAACCAGGTTCCTGCTTTTGTGAATTTGTGCAAATGGGGTCCTGTTATTGTAAAAAACATTTGCAAGGAGTTTTTAAATTGTAAATAGATACAAGATTTTGCTCAACACTGTGAAATTATAATAAAAAAAATTAAATTTTCCTCATTAAACAGTAATTTCTTCTACTAAATTAGAGTTGCAGCATACAAATATTTGGTATTTATACTATACTGCTCAAGGCAGAATATTCATTTCGGACGAATATTGAAGAAGCATCTGCCGAAGATAAAACTTAATTCGATTACATCCGTCTTTCTTTTTTTTTCCCATGGAAGGGTTTATTTGATTAACAAAACAGCAATGAAGATAAGCAAATTTGTGAAGGGTCCAATTAAAAGATAAATTATTTTGTGAAGGGTTCATTTTTAACTTAAAATATTTTGTGAAGGGTCCGTTTTTATGAAAAGATATTTTGTGAAGGGTCCGTTAACGGACCCAAATTTCTTCTAAACAGAATTAATCTGATTTATTACCGATATGCACACAATTTTACCGCAAATCTCATAGGACTATTCTTACTTTAACTAGTATCTGATGCGCTTGCTGAGATTTGTGCTCACGTGATACTAAAATCTTGAAACCAAGTACTGAGAATAAAAATAATTAAAATATTTCAACTTTTTCCATGATTAACCAATTGCTTGTATTAGATATTATTGTTCATTTTTTAATGAAACAATGACCTTCATTTAATCTTGTATTCAGATAAATCTCATCCCTGTTAAACTCAATATAATAACAGGCTGTTGTGTGTTTAATAATTNTCTCCCGATCGAGCGAGCGAACGGCCTTAAACTCAATATAATAACAGGCTGTTGTGTGTTTAATAATTATATTTGAATGAGATTCATAATTTTTTTAGGATATTGAGAACATTAACTAGCTTATCCCCTTATGTATTAATCTATCTTTTGTTAGTTTTTATTTATTCTTTCTGTTATTAATCTTATGTTATTTGAATTTAACACTATTTCTCTTTTATTAGCAATTAAATCACCCCCTGTAGTTTTAAGTCCTCATAAGAAAGTAGTCCTTCATATACCTGGGGAGACAAGTTCTTCATTAGTACAGTCATCTTCCAAACCTCCTTCGACAGCAGTTGTTTCTCCTACAACTAGTGATTCAAATTCACCTCCTATTCAAGTAAATTTTTTATTCATTTGAATTTTAATAAAATATATTTAATAGATTTAGAATTTTTTAATGAAAAAAAATTATAAATTCATTTGAAACATAGCAGGTAGGACTGGGCGATATTAGAAATTATATATCGTGATGCATCGTCAGTTTTGCATCGCGATGTATCGCGATATAGTGTTTTTGAATTTCATTCACTTGTAAGGCACAGAAAGTCAGATTTCTATCAAAACTTCATACTCAGATTGATTTAAATCAATTTATAAATTTGAAGATATATATGTTTTGCTTAAGAAAGTAAATAAATTGACTACAATGTGCAAATGTTACTTAAAATATTTATTGAAATGTTTGTTTAGAAATTCATAATACGCGTAAAACAAAATGTTAAAAAAAAATTTAAAGCGTTTTTTACAAATTAATATTTTCTTGTACTATTACGCATAAATAATTAAATTACATAATTATTAAGTTCTATTGTAATGTTCAATTTCTAAATGAAACATTAAAAATTATTTGTATGTTTAAAACAAAGTGCTAAATAAATTTTAGAAAAAAAAAGGCTTTTAAAGCACTATTTTGTATTATTATCATTTCAGTTATTATAGTTCTATTATAGTTCATTTACGTCACACTAGAGCTGCACAATGGGCTATTGGCGACGGTCTGGGAAATATCCCTGAGGATGATCCGAAGACATGCCATCACAATTTTGATCCTCTGCAGAGGGGATGGCACCCCCGCTTCGGTAGCTCGACGACCTACACGCGAAGTCGAGCAATTTACGAAAGAACAGTTTAACGAGGACCAATCCCGCACACCCTCGGTCCCTACGTAGACTGATTCAAGTGGTCACTCACCCGCACACTGACCGCAGCCAGTGATGCTTGACTTCGGTGATCTGCAGTTAACAGTGTCTTAACGATCAGTCCACTGCGGGACCTTATCATTTCAGATAAATAATTAAATAAAATTAAATAGTGACCGAATTATGAAAGAAAAACAAAGTAAGATTTAATTTCCTAAAAATAAAAAAATTTTGATATTCGATAATATATTTAGCTAATTAACAAATAATATTTTTTTTAAAAAATTATTATACTCTCTAATAAAACGAAGTGCTAAATGATTTAAAAAAATGAATAAAATATGCAAACCTTTCAAATTTTTTTGTATAAACAAAGTTGATTGACTTATGTCCAAGTCCAAATGACAAAAATAAATTTTGTTTTAACTTTATTTCTAAAAATAAAAACAACAAGATTTATAAATTTGAAATCAGTAATAAAAACTCATTAAATTATTAGAAGTTTCATCCAAAAAGCTTTTAATAAATTAAAAGAAAGTAAAAATATAACCTAACAAATTCAATTCTTTATGGGCACCTAAATTAGATGGCCGATAATTTTCACATTTAAAAATAAAAAGAAGTTTTTTTTAAAAAAAACTTATCTAATTAATGAAGAAACTCTTCTTTATAGATTCTTTTCAATAATAGATTGCCTTCAGAACAAGGTAACATTGGCGATCACGAAGTTAGTCCCACTGAAAATAATCTACAAGAAAAGTCGCGACAAAGAAAGAAAAAGAGCTAACAAGTGCGAAAAGGAACATGTGATATAACGATATGTGCTCTCAAAACTCTGTTTCTACAGCTCACCAATCAAGGCCATTTCAACATAACGAAACGAACATCGTTTTCCACACCACGAAACGACATTGGAACGTAAGAGAAGAGTCTTATATCGCTATATCGTTATCTTATATCCTTGCGTGTCTAATATCACTATACCGTTTTGCGCTCATTGTCTTTACTCGACCGCTTAAATCAGATTTCTGATGCATCGCCTTGGATGAAAGTCGCTGTATCGTCTTGCCGATATATGGGTTAAATCGATATGTCTCGATACATCCATTTATAGCCCAGTCCTAATAGCAGGCAATGCAATTTGTAATTCAGAAATGATTTTATAACTTTTTATTAATTTTTGTTGCATTTTTTATGTTGAAGATAATATTTATTATTCTGGAAACATTTTATTATTATTTTTCTGTTATAGCCTTCGGAAAGCACAGAGCATCTAAACCAAGAAGTTGCGAATTTAGAAGGATTGATGAAAGATTTGAATGCAATAACTGCCTCTGAATTTGAATGTTGAAGCTATTTTTATTGCAAGAAGAGGCAGCTTAGTTATGGCAACTGTAGTGATTTAGTGTAATAAACTTAGAGGGAATGAAGGTTATTGCTACCAATTGTTGTGTGCTATCGAACAAAAGCATTGTGAATAATTTCATAGAACAAAAATGTGCCTGACAATTTTTTTATTTACAAAATTGATTTATAGTCATCATAGAATTAAAAGCATTGTGTAGTTGTTTTGAGCTTTGAAAGTGTCTTCAAATTAGAATAGAAATGGATCCTTTTTTTTCTTCATAATCATTGGAATTTAAAATTAAAAACCTGTTATATTTACAAAATTTAAAAATCTGTTAGTCAGAGGACCAATTTTGTGACAGGTTTCAGAAGCAACTTCTAAATTTTTACCATATTACATTAAATAATATTAATTGCTTTAAATATACCTTACATTGTGCCAATTGTGTGATCTAAAAACACTGTTCAAGTTTCATTGTAAAAGTAAATTTATTTATAAGGGTTGCTAAAATAAAAGCTAGGCATGGATGATAGTGACAAAAATACTTGAACAAGAGCAGCAACACTTTTCAGGGTTATAAATTAAAATAATGGGAGTACATCACAGATTGTGTGTAAATATATTACATGAAAGCACTTAAAGTGACTGTAATGCTGTGCTAAAAGTGGCTGCACTCAAAACAGAACATTGCACAGTACTACAAATTTTATAAGCAGATGGTGGGCGTAACATGGGCATTTATCATCAAATGCTAACTGTAGATGAAAATTACTATGTGCAAAGGGTGTAAAAGTTTTTAGGAAGGATGTATAACATTATCAGATCTGCTCACAAATTTATTGCTACTCTTGAGGAAGTTATAAGTGGTAATCAAAAAGTTATAACTCGTAACCTGTGCAACATTTTGTTTGTCATAAGTGAGGGAACAGTGCAGTCACTTACTGCTGTAAAAAACCATACTACATTATTTTGTTCTGGATGCATTGTTCTGGCTCAACTTAAAATTCATTTTAAGTGATTTCATAAAAATTAGTTAATTAATTATACTCAGCCTGTAGTTTTCACTTCACTTACTTTAAAGCCCTAAAACTTTTCTCTGTTCTCACTAATGTATTACTGATGCTATCAAACATGCCACTCAAGAAAAGCATTGCCAAATCTTTTTATGATAAGAAATAAGAGACGAAAAAAAGAACTTGGGCATTGACTTGGAAAATATATTTATAAAAAAATTGTGTAAAAACATATGATGTATTATTGTAAAATTTGTGTACTATGCGGTTTGTGGTGCTACAAATATGAATATTTTCGTAACCTTTGATGTGCTTTTATATGCCAATTGTATTTAGCTATTTTGTTTGTTACATTTTGGGTACTAAAGTTGTAATGTTTGTTAAATTTTTTCAATCAGCTGACTTTGTAATACATTTTTATAACTCAATCAAGCAATTTTTATTGTTGGTATTTTAAATAAGAAATGCATGTCATACGAAAAGTATCGTATAACTCTAATTCATTCTCATCTGTTGTACTTTTTATTCATAATTCTCCATTTTTTAACAGCTATTGATGACTCTTTTTTAGTTTACATGACTCATTTCTAAGAACAAGTGTATATGTATTTAAATCTTTTTAACGATGCATGCTACAGATATTTTAATTAGAATTGCAGTTTATAAACTGACCATTATCTTTATTATAATTATTATTTTAGTTTGAAAACAAATACTAAATTTCATATGGTTAGGCTATTTGAATTTTTTTTTACTGATTTTTATAATTTTTTTGAAATTTAAACTTTAAAAAAATAATCATCATTATTTTTGTTTAAAAGCCAATAAATACTAAATTTTATAAAGCTGGGTTATATGATTTATTTAAAATGTTGTGGATGAATTAAAATCTAAAGAATTATTTTACAAACTTTAAAGGATCCTTTTTTATTTTAGACTTTAAAAGAATTTTCGTATTTTAATAAAGCGCAATAATAATAATAATTCACTTAAACAGTGATTTATGTCAAATTTTATCATTTTTTATGTTGGGTTCTTATATGTTGTTAATCATAAGCAAAGAGATAAAATTAACAGCAATGTGCTCATTTTTCAATAACATATATTATTCATGTTTTCAGCCAACTTTATGTTCATATCTTCCTTCATTTTATTTTCATCTCTACTTGGTCACTATTAAACCAAAAGTATTATGATGCCCATGGTACAGAGTGGAAGAATCACGAGACAGATATTATTTAGTATGTTGGTCCCCATTTGGCATCAATTGTAGTTTCGCAGAGAGCTGGAGAGACTTATCATCAGTTTTTGATAAGGGGCCATGTAAATTGACTTCTATTACAGCTGACAGTGAGGAAGATCACTGCTTTGTTCCTTCTATTCTAATTATTCTAAAAAGGTGTTTTATGGCGGAGATCTCAGAAAGGCTGTCCAGTTTTTAAACATCCATTTTGTTAAACTGTGGCTCCTCACGTCTTGATGTATGAATGCAGTTTTCCTGTTGTAAGCTCCTTTTATATGGACCCTTTAATTTATTTTGGTTATCCTTCTCCCTTCAACCTATTCATTTTTGTATAAACATCCAATTTTGACATGCCAAACCACTAGTAACACTTTTAACAGGGTGCGTAGCGTTTTTAAAAAGGGCTTAAAGGTGCTTATTTTCTACTTATGTTTTTTAAAAACCCTTAAAAGTGCTTTTTTCATTAGGTGTTATTAAAAAGTGTTTAATTTTTCTTTTCCAAAATGAGATTTTTTTCTTTAACATATCAATTTTTACCTCCAATTACTCAAAACGCGTGGTTTTCACATTGTTCTATTTAACGTTTTCATAATTCATTCAACAACAATCTATTTCGATATACAATCGGTCTGTAGCGCCTAAAAGCGCCAATCATTTTATGAAATACTTGAGGGTTCGAATACTGAGTGGGAAGGATTCATACATTCTCATGAGCATCTCTGCTGCATTTTGCAAGAGAAATAATATTTTAATTATTTATAATTTTGAATAAATTTTTTTACATAATTGTGTAAAGTAATTAAAATTTTAAATTGAATGACTCACTCAATATTGAATGTAATTTAAAATTGTGAAATTGTTTTTATGGTGGCTAATATAATCACAAATAGAATTCTTTGCCAAAAACTAGTTATTTTATCATGATCATGTCACTTTTTAAAACTATTTTGCATTTTGTTAACATATATATATATGAGGAATTTTCAATGTAAATGTTCTTTGAGTGCTTAAAAAGTACTTAAAAGGTGCTTATTTTTTGCTGAAAAATTTGACTATGCACCCTGTTTAAAACTTTCGGTTATGCAAACAGTGTTACTGGAAAAATTGACTTCTTTAGATGCATATCCTGATACTTTTAACTAGATAGTGTACTATTACTTTTTAGTAATCCATTTTAAATCTTCACTCATTAATATTGCAAAGTAATGTCTTTTATATGTTTTTTTTTATTTTTTTTGGTATAATTTTTTTTATTTGTTGACATTTCACAATTACTATTTAGAATTTGTCCAGAGGCAATAATTGTGCAATGCTTAAAAAATGTTTTTCATGTTTCTTTTATATCATTTAAACTGAGCTGTTTTAAGCTAGTTTTTCATTCCAATATTGTTCCTTTTTTATCATTTCATTATTGCATGAGTGAACATTAAATATTTCATTCAGAGTCCAGTACTTGAGCTTATTTTGATTTATTTAAATCTTCTTAAAAAAAAATTTTTTTTTTTTTAAACTCCTTCAAATGTGAATTTAGTTTAGTTTTACTTTTATTGTTATTGTAATAATGCGAAATGATTTGCTACAAATAACGAATTATAATTACTTATAACAAATAATGATGTTATTACAAATATTTCAAGGTTTAATTTTTTTTTTTTACAAGTAGACAAAGTTGTTTTGGTTTGAAGACTTTTTTTTCTTTTTGTAAACATAAAAAATCTTGCAGTTTATTCTTTAAAATGCAATTATAAAATAGGATTTTATAATTGCTTCTGGCATTTTGTGAAAATTTCAAAGGAAAAAAAAACTCTTATTTTTATTATTTTGCAGTTTTTAATATAAAGTGAAACCTCAATTATTTGAAGTCATTTAGACTGAACCTACTTCAGGTAATCAAAATCTTAAGATTATTGATATAATATATTTTAATAATAAGTTCTAAAAAATCTATTTTATTATAGTGCTGTTTGTCTTCAAATTTAGTTTTGTTGTTGTTTCTATTGCTTTATTGCCAATATCAGCAAGCCTGCTTGGGAAACCAAGTGAATTTATGTGAGAGGGTGCATTTTTTGTTTTTCAGTGGCTTCATCTATCTCTAAGAATATAATTTCAGTCGCACACAACACAGCCCGTTTTACGTTGCATACCCATACATATCTTAATTTTGACCGGAACCAGAGAATGATCAATATCCAATTCAGTACCCCCAAAGGTATGGATACATTTAATTTTAATGTGACAATTAATTTAATGTCTTTTTGTATAATAAATTGGTATAACAATATTTTATTTTCAAATACATTTGCTATCTTACTTTAGACAACTGTCTTTTTCTAATTCTGAATCATTTACTTGATTTCCTTGATTTATTTTCTTTGCAAGTTTTTTAAGACTTTCTTCTGATTCAATTAACACTAATATATATATTTCTTTCACACATAACATAATACGCTTCCTTCTAGAAGATGGAAAAGCACAACTCATTATGGTCAAACTAAACTATACTATTAATATTGAAAGGATGAAAGTTACAATATTCTTTTGAAAACCGAAGCAATCTACTTAACTAACTAATAAAACATTAATTTATAAATCATATAAAAAAACATGTTATTGAAAGTTCCAAAAAAAAAAAAATCTTTAAAATTGGTATTGGAATGAAAGAGGTTCAGATAATTGAGGTTTTATTGCATTTTCTAAGATTATTTAATTATGAAAATTTTTTGTGTTACATACATTTAATTTTATCATAAATATTGAGTTTTCATAATACCAGGTTTCAAAAAAGTAATTTTCATTGGCTCGTCTATTATAATTTTGTTTTACTTATTAATTCCTTTTAAGTAATTAGTTTTATTAGTTTTTTTCCATTATTGAAACAATTTTGTCTTCATCTTTCTTGCTCAAGTTTAATTAATTATGCTCAAATCATTAATGCTCAATATCTATTTTATGAATCTCTAACTATGCATTTGTTGTTTATATTTCCATCAGTTCTCAGGAATTATTTTGCACATCAACTGTTGTGTTTAATTTTTGTGTAAATAAGTGTATATTTATATATTTTGATACTTTTTTTTTATTCTGTATATTTAGTGCCATTTTTTTTCTTTTTCTCTTTTTATTGCAATATTGTGGTGAATGTGTGCCAATTTTTTTTCCTTTACCTTTTTTATTTATGCGTATATGCAATTCTACTTAAGCTGAATATTTTGGCAGCTTTTTGTTTTGTAATTGATAGTTTTTTCTTTGGTTGTCGAAGCTTATAAGGAAAACAATTGTTACATTTAAAATCAATTGGGATTTATTTTATTTATGCATACAGTAAGTAAATTAATTTGTATTATAAAATTTTACTCTCTAATATAAAATATTAAACATAGTGAAATACATGTTTTTATATAAAATCCCTATTTGTTTTTGATTGATCTCCTATTTAGTTAAAAAAAAATAAATGCTTCATGCTGTTTCAAATAAGATAAAAATTATGATTTTAAATAACAATACTTTCTTTCATTAATAATGCTGATCAAAGTTTTTTTTAAAAAATTTAATTTTAAGTAACTATTTTATGTTAAAAGTATGTTTAGACATTCGTGTTCGTTTTTTACTTTAGGTGTGTTTAATTTTCCTCTATTTTATAAATTTGTTATTTCAAAATCTGTATGATACTATATAAAGTGAACAATTGGCAATAAGTTTAATTTATAAAACCATGTGCTTTGGATCGATTGATTGTACACTTTCTGTGCATTCTATATGTTTTGTCTTTTATAATAACTTTTACTGAAATGTATGATACTAGCCATTTTTATACCTCTGGTATATGAATAAAATTTTTGTTACTCATGAGTTTTGTTTTTTCCATGCAACCTATAAGTAATATATGCAACTTATAAGTAATCTATATTTATCCCGTTAGTTAAAATAAACTTTCAAAATATTGTGTTTACAAATAATTTCCCGCTGTTCGTCACAAGATGGCATTACAAGAAGGTTGTGTGGAAATCGACTGGTGTTAAACGTCTTACTGTAAGTTTGTTCATCTAGTAAGATCATAACCTTAAAATATCAGTGATTCCGCATTAGCATTACATAATTGTTTTCTTGCAAAAATGTCAAATTTTGTGCCAGATAAGCGTCATTTGTGGGAACTTTTGATTAATTTGAAAATATCTGCAGCTGAGGTTCATCGATTGCTTGGAGAAGCATATGGTGAGGATGCTTGAAGTGAGAGAAGTTTTAGTGAGTGGTTTCAGAAGTTTAAAAACAGTGTGTTTGACGTGGAAGACAAATAACGCAGTGGAAGGTTGAAATTGCACGAAGACAAAGAATTGGAAGAAGATTAATCCCAAATGCAAAAAGAACTTGCTGTTACATTACAAGTGACTCAGCAAGCAATTTCATATAGATTAAAATTGTTGGGAATGATCCAAAACAAGGAAGTTGGATTCCATACGAACTGGAGCCAAGAGACATTGAACTTCAATTTTGCATGATACTTGATCTTGCTACTTGGAAGCACATCAGTGGGAAGTCCTACCCCACCCGCCGTGTTTGCTCTTTCAGATTATCACCTATTCCTCCCAATGGTACATGGTCTATCTGAGCAGAAATTTAAATCATTTGAAGAAACCAAGGAATGGGTCGATTCGTGGATATCCTCGAACGATGAAGAGTTCTTCCGACGTGGTATCCGATTGCTCTCAGAAAGATGGGAAAAAGTAGTGTCAAGTAATGGCGAATACTTTGAATAAAATATAATGTACTGTGCTTTCACAATAAACTGCTAATTTTTGATAGAAAACGACGAAAACTTATTACTCCCAATATATAAGTAATTTCTACTGCTGTTGATTATATCTAGCAATTATCTCACTATTGTAAAGAACCTACAGGCTTAAATACAAGTTTGACAACAGGTTTGTATTTTTTTTAATTTTATTTGCATATCTTTTGTGTTTTGTTTAAATATGATTTTTATACTGTTGTGCAGAACCTAGAGGCTTAAGTTCAAGTCCAACAACAGGTTTGCACGTATTTTTTTTTAACTGCATACCTTTTTTTGTGTACTGTTTAAATGTGAACTAATGTACAGACTTAAATCCTAGTTCAAAAGCAAGTTACTATTTTTTTCTTTTTCTTTTGCATAGTAAGTTAATATTATGCAACAAGTTTATGATATAATAAAGGGCAACATTATTTAGTTATAAGTCTTTAGCTATAACTTACTAGTTTCATGGTGATGACAGCTAAAGATTTCAGACCTTTATTAATTAATTGATAATGAAAATATTTAGTTATCGTTTTACAATTGTTAAACGTTGTATAAGTCGCAATTATCATTAAATAAGTTATTTTTGCTTACATGGTAAATTTTATATGAAATTCTGTTCAATCAACTTATAATGAATACAAAGTATTGAATAATTAAAATTCTGAAGCAATATTAATAATTAACTCTTCGCATTATTGCTGAATAGTCTCTTTGGAAAAAATAAAACAAATTTTTATACTAATAGAAATTTACGAAAAAAAGGTAGTGGATGAAGTTATGTTTGAATTTTATTCCAATAGAATCCAAACTACTATAATTTACAATCAAGAACTAAAAATGATTGTAAAAGTATTCATGAGAGTGGTTGAGCGAAACGAGTAGAGCATCCAATTTTATAAGTTTCTGAAATGCTCATAATCTGAAGCTATATTTTATTTAATACTTTAAAATCTAAAGTGTTTTGTGCATGTATATTCAACACCTAGAAAGGAGAAGACCTCCGCTCGGATCAATTTAGTAGTCCGACGTAATGAACATAAGTTGCGCAGTGAGGAAAGATGTCATACCGTCCGGACTAGTTAAGGGTCGGATTTTTCGTTTATGGTAACTCGTGCTTTTCGTAGGTGTAGGTATATTTCAAGTGAAATCAATAGTTACAATCGTAGTGGCTAGAGTCACTACCTGCTAGAAGAAAGAAAGCCTCAGCACGGGTTACCATAAATAGGAAATTTGATCTTTTAGTAGTGACATCTTTAGTAGTGACCAAACTTAATGACATCTTTCGAATTTCCCTACTGCGCAACTTAGTAGCCAGAACGTAATGGCATCTCTCTTATTTTTCCTCCACTGCGCAGTTTATGTTCGTCACGTCGAAGTACTAAATTGATCCGTGCTGAGGCTTTCTCTTTTCTAGGAGGTGTTGCTAGAATACGGCAGATTGTTTTGACAAAATTTAATTGATTCGGTGTTTTTCCTTTTTTTTTAGAGGACTATCTAAAGCTAATGTTTTGAGAACAAGTTATGCTCTATGGATTATAACCGAACATTCGCGTTTTAAGTCAAGTTTACGGTAGAAAAATCTCTGATGTATCTTTACAAAATACTATAATTAGTTTAGAGTTATACAATTTTCCCACTTATAACGATTTTTGGAGGAAGTTTTAAATAAAAATTTCCAGGTCTTGAAGGCGGTAACGCATGGAGGCTAAGTGATAGGGGCTGTTATCAAGAAGCAGGTAATAAATTTATAGGGTGGATATCCATCTTTACTAACATGAAAATGTAAAACTAAGTAAAGGAATGTCTTTTAATGTTCATGAATGTGCGTTAGTTATTTTATTGTTCCGAGTTATATTCAAGTTATGAATGTTTCTGAAAAAGTTGTTGATAATGTTTCTGATTGAATGTTCTGAATTGAGAATGTTTCTGGTTGGGAGAGCTTTGGAGAAGTATCATAAAGAGAATTTTGGAGAGCGTTGAACCACAACATCCCGCAAACTTTTACGCTGTTAATAACCTAATGTTAGCAAATTAAACCTTCTAAACTTTGATTACACCATACTATGTGTGACATTGCGTCACTTCATCTCAATTTTTCTGTTGGGATCGTGACCTAAAAATTAGACCGAACCCTGACCCCTCTCCTGTGACGCCTCACTGTCTGTTGACCTTCACGCCTGTGACCTTCGGCAGCCTTTGATGTGAACACATGGAGAATGGTTAGCTGCAATCACAGTTTGTGAATAATTGTAATTTGATTTTTCGCAGTTAGTCTATTCACTTCAAGTCCTATTTTAGGAAGTTTAACTTCCACTTCTTGCTCTTTCTATAAATATCGCCCATTTTTTTGAGAGATGGCATTTTCAAAATTTGTAAGTCAACAAAATCTACGATCCCTTAACAGGGATTTTTCATTTTTACCCCCTCCTCTCTTCGAGAGACGGAGTTTTTGTTTAATTGCATGGCGGTCATTATTCCACCCCCCGTGGGTGCGTAAGCTGTCCGGCTCGGCTGTGCTGGAATTCTTTTTTTCGCCATGGATGAATCTTCGGAGGGCAGATTTTGAGAAGTATGACTCCAGCGGCATCCCACTCCCGTGTTAAAAAATGATTTTTGTTACATTCTCTCTCCGTTCCTGTTTTCTCGAAAGCCTTTTTTATGATACGCCAAATGTGATTTTAAGAAGTTGTCCATGTTACGATGTCCTCCACTAATGCCTATCCCATTTTCAATCATGTGCCAGAAATTAGTGTGCTGATGATATAGCGTTTTTGTGATAGTGCTCCTCGATGTGTTGTTCAAAATAAAATAAACAAGGAATTTATAGTGCCTCTCAAGTGTTTTCCCTTCATTTTGATGTCATTGACTCCTACTTTAGGTACCTGTTCAGCTTACTTCTGATAAACTATCAATTATCCTGGTTGGTCGAGAAGGGGTATGTAAAGAAATAAGTCTTTGATATGTTCTTTTTAGAAATTATACCTTACCAGTTGTATTTTATGTTATTGCGGCACATCGTATAATTTAATAATATTTTATTTTCGGTCAATTTTAATTATAACAACAGCATTCCCATCCAACACTATGGTTCAACTGGAGTGTGGAAACATGATTCAATTTTACATTTTGCAGGGTTGTAAGAACTGGGCGATCTCTCTGGGTTCGAATTCTGCCCTCGGCTCGCACCAACCACAGTACTGACGTAAAATATCTTCAATGGTTAACGGATCATGGGTTAGAATCCCCTTGCCGTCGGGCTAACCGTGAAAGGTTTTCGTGGTTTTCCACTCCATGTAAACAAATGTGGTTTGATTCTTTAAAAAAGTGCTCCGTGGACGCTTGCTTCCGTGCCCAATGCTTGATCCAGAATTTCTCTTGTCTTTTGGACTAAAATCAAAATTACAAGGCTTACGGAGTTGAACTTTGATAGTCGTAAACTAAGAATTGGGTCAACGACGGTAATGAAATAAAATTTTGCTATCTTTCTTATGTCATACATTTAGACCAGAGGTTTATAACTTACATGAGGCCGGGGGCTGCAATTAAAAACAACAGTCAAATGGTGGGTAGCAACTTCCTCAAAATTTTATAAAGGACTCTTTTATGTTTGAAGGAACATTAAATATTACTGTCAGACTTTTATCAAGTTGTACAAAACAAAAGTATTGAATTGTAAATTAAAATAAGGAGTAGATTTTTACTTGAGAAATAAATTATTTTCCACAGTTGGTATGTTAAATTTCACAGAAACAAAAAAAAAAATTCTTTTTTTTCTTCTTTTTTTTTAGCGACTGAAAAGTATTTTAAACCCATAAAGATTTTTTTACGAAAATTATCCGCAAAAAACGACAACTAATATATGTATTTTGGTTCGCGGTTAAACAAAAAAAGGCTTTGCCAAATAAAGGCCAGTTGGTAATCACTGATTTAGACTATTGAAAATTGGGGAAGGGAGCGTTATCTAGCTTATTCAACTCAATGTAATAATTAATACAATTTATTATTCGGTATATTTCAATATTTAAACATTCATATTACTATCATGAATGTGCATAATCTATTATGACTACTATCATAAATTTAAACAAATAATCAATTAAAAGCCTAATAAGTAAATAATCTGTCTGGTTCTAAAGATATATAGGTAACCATGGTATTTGTTTCTTTCAATTAATACAGCAAATATGATTGAATAACCAAAGTTTTTCCGATACTACGTTTAATTTTCTTCCTCATAATTTTTGTTGTTGTTATTCTAGTTATTGTCCTGAATTGCATTGACTTACGCATAAAGAGTGGGGGCGAAATGGTTTCTATGGAAACTCACACAAAACTTGGTGCTTCAGATGAGAGCATGGTGGTCCTGGAGTACTACCCTCGCTTTTATGGAATATTTATAAATTTATTTCTTATTATTTGTTTTTATGAAGTCGAAAGTACAATACTTCAAGGTGAATTACGAACCAATAAGGTATGTTTATTATAAAGTGTGTTCATGATTTCTTTAAGTAATAATTGTTTTTAAATACTGCTTCACTAATTAATCATACATACTTCAACGTCTTACAGTTGGGTTGCTTGTTTGGAAAATAAAGTCATTTTCCTCCCTTAAAAATGAAACTGCCCGCATTATTAATTAACTTTTTTGTGTTATTCTCATTTAAAATAATTTTCATTATAAACTGTTTTAAAATTCGCGATCGCAACGCTCGAGTACGCCGTCTAGCGGGAGCCTGTAAATATCAGACATTAATTTATCACGTTTTCATTTAGTTCCATCGAAATCATTGACAGAATCAGACGCCATTTTTTAGCAGCAAATAAGAAACAAAATTTCCCTAAGGAAAAGGCCGAAGAACTTGAAAAAAATCTCCAGAATATTAGTAAATCTTTCAGGAACAGAACACGCCAAACATTTGAAGAAAAATTCCTCAATAATTTTT